CTTCCACAATAAGGAGGACAGAGCACTGAGCCACATTCCCTCCCTGGCCCGCAAGGAAAGAAAAAAAGAAAACATTTAAGGAGTCTAGTCCTGAGTATAGAAACTTGCTCCTTGAGTCTCCTTTGTTAAATATTCTGTCTTTATTCCTTCATACTGTGTAAATAAAGGCTGTTCCCCTCTCCCTCCCCTCATCCTAGCTCCCTAAAACCCTCGCTTATTCCCTAGAACTTCAATTTTCTTTTTCTTTCCTGGTTGGAAAGTTGTTACAGCAGAGAACTTTATGTTGTTGTGCTTAGGAACCTGAGAAGGTTCCTAAAGACTTTGCTTCTCCTCTTCATTTCAGACTGAAAAGGACATAATCTTACGGGAGGACTTAGAGGAGCTGCAGGCCCGACACCCCGACCACTTTACGCTCTGGTTCACTCTGGATCACCCCCCAGAAGGTACCCTCCCCATTTCTGGACATCCCCAAATCAGGGCCTCGCCCATCTGTGGGTTCTGGTTTCAGTGAAACCGACCCTGCCCGACACTGCCAAACTCTGAGCTCATGGACACAGTGGTCTCTTGGACTCTTCCCCGCGGTTCCTGTTTACCGGGTGGGTGCAGGGCTGGCCGTGCCGCTGAAGCAGGCTGAGTAGACCCATCCAGCTGCCGCTACAGCTCTGTACCCTCTCAGGAGCCTTTCTGGACTGCCACCACCCCACCCCGGCCCCGCACTGCACCCCACTGCCAGCATGGATCTGGAGTGTCATTCTCTCCTCTCCCCATGCAGATTGGGCCTACAGCAAGGGCTTTGTGTCTGCCGACATGATCCAGGAGCACCTGCCCGCCCCAGGGGAGGATGTGCTGCTGCTGCTCTGTGGGCCACCCGCGATGGTGCAGCTGGCCTGCCACCCCAACTTGGACAAACTGGGCTACTCGCAAAGGATGCGATTTACCTACTGAGCATCCCCTCACTTCCCTGGTCCCGCTGCCGGCACTTGCCCCCAGTCAGCCCTCAAATGCTATAAGCCCTAGATGCCCTTCCCGACAGTGTCAGCCTTTTCGTCTTTCTCCGGAGCTGGAATCTGGATGGTCCCTGCGGGAACAACATCCTTATAGCCGTGGAAGAGGGCCAAAGCCGAGTCATCTCCTGGAAGGCTCCCCAGTCTCCCTGTGATGAAGCATCCAGGTCAGGCTCAAGGAGCAGACTCTTCCATGGGTCAGAAAGAAGGGAGCACGTACATTTGTTCCAAGACTGGCCAGTTCCTCGTGGCATCACACTCTTCTTTGTGTCTGTGGTTAAAGAGCGACCTGTTTAATGGGTTTGATTTAACATTTGGTGCTTAACCCATAGCAGACTGTGTGTGCGGTGGGGGGTGCAGACTTAGAAAGCTAATCTTTTAGAGGCAACAGGAGAGGAGGAGATGGTCTCTTCAGACCTCAGAGAAAGGGATCTGAAAGATGTGTTTGTGTGTCTGTCTCCCTCTGCCCCTGCCGAGGCTGGAGGGAAAGGGCTCCCCACGATCTAAGACTGTTACTGTGGCAGAAACCTCTGGCTTATGCAAATAAATGGGGCTAAGGCCCTTGTGTTCTACCAAAGCGGTGGTTGTGTCTGGGGTCCTTTTTTCCAAGGCTTTTCATGCCTGAGAATCTTGGGAGGAAGGGTTTCCCAGCACAGAATTTCCCCCGGGTCTTCCAAAGAACCTTTGAGCGGTTGTACCCTGTGCTGAAATGTGAGCCGCCACCAAACTCCACACTCATCTTAGCAGCTGTCTCTGCAGAGCCAGAAGCTCAGCTTCTCCCTGGAGAACTTCTAAGGTGGAGGAAGGAGAATACAAGTGAGAGGGAAGCTTTTGGAGCCCAGGTACCCCTCACAGTGGTCCTTGGTTTGGCCACTCCTTCCCTCCTTCCTTCTCTTGGCCCTTTCTTCACTGCATTTATCCTTCAGGGTACCTGGCAAATAAGTCAAGGTATTGTCTTTCTATTTGGAAGAGAAGCCTTGTCCTTTAAAAAGTAACCTGACACCACCAGCCCTAGCCAGACTGGTTGGTGCCTGGACAGAGTTGGCCCCCAGGTACATCTGTCCTGACCGCCCTTCTCCTGCTCCAACAGCCTGGCCCAGTCCACTCCCTCCCAGCGTCACACCAGGGCCACCTCTTCAGATCTTCTCTTAGTCACACTGGAAAAGAACAATGCATCAGGTCAGGAGGAAGGTCGGCATTGTTTTTCTGCATGGAACTGTGTACTGCTTCCCCTGGGGCCCCTGGAAGAAAGGCTTGTGGACGCTCCCCAGGGTAGAACCATCACTAAATTGTGTTCCTGGTATTCCATCAGACATGTCTTGATCAGCTGGTGTGTGTGTGTACTGGGCTCTGTGAGACACACTCGGCTGCCTCACCTCCAAAAAGGAAAATCTTGCCTAGGGTTGTTGCGCTCACACAGTGAAGCAGCCCAGCAAAGAGAATTTCCCACACAGAAGCTCATTCCTTGTCTCGCACGGGTTCCTGCCTTATCCACTCAATATACAAACATTAAGGACCTGCCACATGCCAAGCACTGTGCTCGGTCCTGAGGATTCAACCATGACCAAGACTGTTCTTAGACCCCAAACAACTCATCGTCTAGAGTAAGACAGCGATAAATAATTACAACACAGTGTGGTTAATACAAGGTGCAGATGGGAAGGGTTTGGAAAAGATTCTGAGAAGGAGGAAGAGAAGAAAAAAAGTTTTTTAGTTAACAGCCTCGTAGCAGGCGCTGTGCTAAATGATCATTGTGTAATTGAATCCTTATTATAATCCTGTGAGTCTGAGATTAAGGATATGCAGAAGGTCATACAGCTGGTCAGTGGCTGGCAGAGCCTGAATATGAAGCTAGGATTGTCTCAATCCAAAGCCAAACCTAGAACTGGGAATTGTAAGTTGCTGGGATCCTTTGGCAGAGAATGGGGGCATGAGCAATCCAACAGAAAGACCAGCATGTGCAAGAGCCTGAGGAGCAGAAGAGAAGTTCACATTTGGAGAACCAGGCAAGTTCATTGAGGCCCAAATGCCAGAGGGAAAGTGGAGGAAGACGAGGCCTGGGAGCAGGTAAGAGCCTGGTAACGCCATGCTGAGAAACACACTCAGTCCTGTGGACAGCACACGTTTCTGAGGGTTTTATACAGCGGGCAGCACATAATAGCTAAGGTTTGTGAAGCATTTACGATTTGCCAAGCATCAAACTAAGAGCCTGCATAAATTATCTCAAACCTGACAAAGAGCCCGTGAAACAGCACTATTTTATTCCTGTTTTTCAGACGAGGTACTTATGATGTGGAGCGTTCGGTAACGTGCTCAAGGTGAGAGCCTGGCCAGGGACAGAAGCCTGGGTCTATGTGACTCCAGAGCCTGCTACGCTTTTAACCAGCACCAGAATTAATCCCACTGCCCTGAAGCATCCATACAGGATCATACTAAAGTACCTTCTCTCTGCATCTAGAATAGACTGGTCACGTACCAGCCTTGGGAGAAGTGAGAAGTGTCAGTCGCCCAGGCGAGGGCTGCAGCACCCCGCGGTCGCCCTCTGGCCGCAGCGGGAGCCCGGGGCGGAGCAGGGAGTCCCCGAGGAAGACCAGTCAGCGCCGCCGCGCTGTTTCTAACCAGGAGCCTGCCTGCCTCGTGCCTCGCACACGACTGGCGCTCAGTAAATATTTACGGAAGGGAGGGAGGAGCCATGAGGTTGAAAAAGAGAGATTAAGAAGTGCCCAGCCTAGAGGACAAGGTGCAGGGTAGGAAATTCGGCATTCCTTCGCAGGGTTCGGTCTAATTCCCTGAAATTCCATCCCCATCACGCGCCCGAGTTTGCAACTTGGGGGCGTGGTCCCCGCAAGGCCTTGAGAGGGGGTTTTACGATTGGAGCAGAGCGAGGGGGCGGGGCCCGGGCGCAGGAGGCGGGGCCGAGGGGAGAGGACCTGCGATTGGGACTTGAGGCACCGCCGAGCCGCGGAGGGGGCGGGGGCCGTCAGGAGGGGCGGGGACCCGCGATGGGGAGGCGGGGCCGAGGGAGCGGGCCTGTGATTGGGACTGAGGAAAGATTGTCGGGCTGGAGGGAGTGGGGCTAGATGGAGGGGCGGGTCCCGCTCGGGGCGGGGCTGAGAAGCCGGCCTGTGACTGGGCCTCGCTGAGGCCAAGGGGGCGGAGCGCCCGTGAGGACGTGACGCTCCCGCGGAGGTGACGCCGTGCGGTTGCGCGCCCCTTCCGGCGCGGGGAGGGCGCAGAAGATTCGGGCCGCTCGGCCACAGGCCGTCTCTAGCGCCGCGGGATGTAGCGCGGGGTCCGCGGCCCCGAGCAGAGCCCGCCGCCCACCGTAAGTTTCCCGGGGCTCCGCGGCGAGCGGGTGGGAGGGCGGGGGTCGACCGGAGCGCGAGGACCCCCGGGAGCCTCGGCGTGGGCCTGAGGCGGCAGCCGTGGAGCCGGCCTGCCCGGGCGTCCCGAGGGCTCCGAGGGCCCCGAGACCCCCGCCCGAAGCCGGCCGCGCCTCCGGCCACTCCGCGTCGGGTGTCCACGTTCGTGGTCCCTCCCGTGCGCGCCGCGTCCCCCGCTGCCAACAGCCGCGGTGGCTGCCGTGCCTCCCAGTCGTCGGGGTGAGACGTCCGGATTTGGGCTCCGACTCGGGCCCGCCAGGCCGGAGCTGAGCCTGGTCCCAACGCCGCGCGAGGCCAGCGCGGAGGGGCTGCAGGCCTGGGTCGCGGAACCGCCTCTCGGCTGGGAGTGCCCGCCTGTGGTGGCCTGAGGAGCTCCAAGGTTCCTAGACCGTGAGTGTGCGCCCACCTTGATGGGGGAGAAGGGGACGTTGGTGGACAATTTGCCTTTGTTTAAGGTAGTCCCAAAAGCTGCAATGTGAGCAAAACCTAAAGTACGTTAGGGAAAAACGGAATTTCATTCCCTCAGAAATCTCTCATTGATGCCATCCTATGTTTGAGATTTTTGGTCAAGCCTTCGAGTTTGAAGAAAATAGGTATGTTTCTCCTCGGTTTCTGGTGCTACATTGGCGAAAGGGAAACTGACAAGGCGAATTTCATTTACATAGTTTCAGGTGTCAGAGGAGCAACAGGAGGCTTACTAAGTACTTAGCTGGATTAACCAGTTTCCCCCCAGTATGTAGAAGAAAGGCTAGAAAACACAGCAGGGACTATATAGGCCACTGACTTAACTCAAGCGAACGCTATAATGGCTGGTTCTTTTCTGAAACGAAGTGATCTTGGGATCTGTCTCCAGCTTTTCTCTCTTAATAGGGGTTGCGGCACCGGTGATGGAGCAACTGTTGTTCCTTAGGTTTTTCAGCATCCATACAGTACTAGGAACTTAGGCAGGGTGGTGTCAGACAGGTTGCAGCGTCAGGGTAATAGTTCCCAATTTGCAGCCACTAAGTTTCTTTATCCCAGGAGTAACTTCTGTGTTACCTTATAGTGGTTGATACTTGGGGAATCAATCTTGTTCCCTGTGAGCAACGTCTTAGGGTTAGACCTCCACAAAACTATACCTAACTTCTGAGTAGAATCTGAAAGCATTCCATGCTCAGTGGCCAAGAAATTACATGATCCCCAGGGGATAAACAGAAATTGTAAGCAAACACTTTGCCTGCAACTAGGAAGGAAACTCAGACAAGGGCACAGCCTTAACCCGGTAGGCTCCCCATTGCTAATGGATAAAGTGCACCACCGTAGGTGGGCTTTTAGGCTGTCTCCAGTTTCTTAAGTCTGGCCTCATTTTACCTTTCCAAGACTTCCTTATGGAAGGTGGATTATTCACTGCCCTGGGGACTTTGTTCTTTCAAGCCTGCCTAGGTTCATAGCACTACCCTTCTGGAATGCCTGGATCGCATCTTTACTTATCAAGATCCTTTCTTAAAATCTTCCACCATACCTTTCCTGATTATTCCAACTAAAATTAAGCTTTTCTTCTGAATTCTTCCAGCACTTTATGGCATTTAGCCTTGTAGTGGTTTTAGTAGAAAACAGAAGTTACTGCCTCCTCTTAAAATAGAGGCCAGCAGCCATGCGAAGCCACTAACTGGTCTCTTTGCCTTCTCTGTAGCCGGACAGTGCCACGTGTGTTGTGTATAATCAATAGTATTCGCAGATGGATAAAAGACATTTGAACTTCGTTCTCGGCCCGAAAGTTTTTTCTCCATTTTTCCCTAAGAAATCTCCTTGACTCCTTTACTATAAAGCCACACGGAAAGTCTTTAACACGTTTGCTACAGTCTCCTGTCCCATCTACTTGTGATCATGCTGGTGAACTGAACAGTCATCTTTAAATCCAGAAGCTTTATTAATACTAGTGGGGTATTTTCTGGTGCTGGTACTCATCAAAGTTGTTACATTTTGTCCTTAATGTCCATTTGTCCCTCATGGCACCCACTGGACTTTGTTCCTCTCACTGAACTCAAAGTTGATTCCCTTTTCCCGCTCAGAAATGTTGGGGACGTGATTAATGTTCATAAAGTTTTAGCTATCTTGGATTGAAGAGATCCTTGAAAGTGCCCTCTAGGCAAACTGATTCCAAGTGATTGGCTTTTAGACGTGCACCTAGTTTGCTTTTGTTTCATCGGGGCTTTCACAGTATAAAGTTATCACTATAATGTGTAACTATAGTGGCCATATATGTGTAATTTACTTAAAAGCCAGGTATTAAAAACAAGGACTGGTACGAAACGCCTTCATATTCCTGTATACTTTACTTTTTTTCTTTTTGTCATGGCATTTGAAAAGCTTACCTGTCTCTGGGATCAAAAAAAACAGACCCCTTCTGTTGGGATAGCTTTATCTGGAGAAGAGCTACAAAGAAAGCTACGTTGTGATTTTTCGCTGCAGACTCTAAGTCAGTGACACTGTGATCAAAGAGGAAAGCTGAGGCTCCCTTACTGCAATTTGATAGTTTTCAAACATAAGTCTTTGCCTTGACTCATTTACCCCCCAGCAGTGCTATGAAAGCACCTTCCCTAAGAAAGAGAGCAGATAGAGGAGAAGATGGCTGTGCTCTTTGTCTTTACTGCTAGGCTAGCCTTGCTTTAGAACAATGTGAGTCACGTAGGCCTAAGATGGAGCTTACCCATGGAACCTCTGAGCGCCCAGGGACCCCAGATTAAAAACTCCTAGAAGAAGCTTTGTGCCTTTGACTCCAGGGAAGGAGTGTGCTGTAGCCTGGAAAACTTGGGAACTGGTTCACAAAATAAATGTCTCCAAAAGTGTGAGCTAAATAAACTCACCAGTAAATGCTGGCAGTCAGGGATCCGTCCTTTCCCTAGTTTGGCACCAGATGATCTTAGTTATAGGAGCACAAGCGCCTCCACAGCTTTATTCTCTAGTGTCATAGGGTTATCCAGCTGGAAAGCTTAGTGGTAAAGATTTATCAGCGTGAATTGAAGAAATCCCATCAAAAATGCACTCAGTGCAGTCTGGCCCAATTATAATTGCTACATTGGGTGTGGCGAGTTTGAGGGAAAATGTGTTTCCTCTAAAATAGGTAAGGATAGGAAAGCTAGTAGAAAGCTGAAGTACCTTCCGCTCTCCTGAGGTTCCCAGAGTCAGTCTTAACACTTTAGGGGCGGAGGCTGGTGGTATATAGTAGAAACTGAAACGCTTGCTTGCAGTAATTCCCAGCTGTTTGTGAGTGGCCCACTCTGTCAAGTGATATTTTCAGGTCCTAGCATTCATCATTGGCTTTTCTTTCTTGCCACACCTCCGACCCCTCTCTCTCCCTTTCCTGTCCCTGTGTTGTTACAGTTTAGAAGACCCAGCTGGACAGTGGACTTTGCTCACTGTGGTGACATGACAGCACTCAAAGCAACTGAACTTAGTGTGTGGCCATCCTAGTTTAGGGGTTCTCCGTCCACTGTCCTCCTGGAGCAGTGCAGTTGTATCACTGGTTTTGTACATATCACAGATTACCTTATGCCATCTGATTACAGGCTCTTCCAAGACAATGACTTAACTTGTTCAACTTTGTATTTTGCACAGTACCTTAAAGTGCCTTAGGGTGCTGGCCCTAAATACATTTGTTAAGTATTCAGTGAATGTGTTGGCTTACTCTGGGGAGAGGGACAGGAGGAAGCCCTACAAGCACAAGTCCATAAACCCTTAGCTAGCAACAGAAGCTAATAGGTCGTATGCTTCTTGCCTGGAATGCTGCCTCATTCATTCATTCATTCATTCATTTTGAAATACGTGTTCTGACCAAAATCAGGGATATGTATAAATTTGTGATCCATGTAGTGTTGTATCCCAGAACCCGAGAATATCTGTATCTATATATCTGGCTTAAGCCTTAATGGCCACCCCTCAAATACTGGCAGCAGTATTCTAGAATAGCTGAGTATATTCCCCTTTTCAGACTTCTCCAAGATGCCCAAAGCTATTTATGTTTTTGCCCCAGTATAAATTATTTCTTATTTAAGCTGTTTATTCAGTAGTACTTCACTTTGAGGCAATATGTTTTGTGGTCAGCTTATTGAGAAAGATTTCCCAATGTTTCTGCTTAACGTGGGTTGCCTATCTCTTGAGGTTTCAGAGGCCTCCAATTTCTTGTTCTCCTTGGGCTCAGTTGTTGGCTATGACTATGGGCTGGCGTCTCTCTTGTCAGAGTCTTGCACATTTGGAGGAAGAGGAACTGCCTGTGTGTTGACACCGAAGACAGGTCTGCGTGCACTGAGTTATGGGCGTCTGTTCTCTTGAACCAGCTCTGCCAGTAGCTTTCAGCTGTGCTTGGTGTGTTGAGCGTAGCATGACTGTTTTCAAACTTGAGGATTGCCCTCACCTGACTGCATATATCGCATGATAATCCCTGAGAAGGAATTGAGATCACTGTTGGGTCAACAAAGAACTGGTACAAGATGCCAAAGGTGGATGTCTGTGAACAGCCACCGGGGACGGACACGGTGCGCAGGGCTGTGCTGACTGCCCATAGGAAAGGTGTGGGTTGCCCGAGCTTCCGTTTCCTCCCCGTCATGCAGCTCGCCCCGAGTGCAGGTGTTGCCTGGCTCTCTTTGCACTGCCCTGTGCTTTTCGGGGCTCAGGTGACCCCAGTGCAAGAAAATGTGGATATTCTGGCTCCTCCTGCTGCGAGCAGGAAACGCCTTTGTTGCGGGGCTGGAAATCTTGGGGCACTTTTCCCCTCCTTTCCATACGCCTTCATCTCCCTGGGACCTGATTAAAGACTACTTCCTTACAGGATCTATGTGCCTGTCTCAGGTCTCTGAAAAACTCGTCTGAATGGGGCGTAGGTCATCAGCTATGGCTACTGGGACAACTCGCTGAGCCGGTTGTTTGGTGGCAGAGGGCAAGGCTGGGCTGCCTCCTGCCTTCAGCCTCCCGCATCCAGGCAAGTTATTGCTGCTGTGAGGGGCGGCTGTGTGGAAAGCTTGCTGTCCAGGTGTCGAACCCGGGCTGTGATCCTATAAGAGAAGTAGTAGACCTGGCAGAGAAACTAACCACTGGGCACCTAGCCCACAGCCGAGTTCCTTTTGTGTGCGAGGCACACGTGTCAGCATTTGTAGGTAAGGCCCACCGAGTTCAGTCGGCAGTTAGCTCACGTCTAAGCCGGGGGCCTCGCAGTGGTCACAGCAGGTGTCGGCCTCCTCGTCTGCCTCCTGAGTCTCAGGGCCAGGACTTTGCAGGGCAGACTAGCTCTGGGGCTGGTGGGCTAAACTCCGCTCCCTGCGCGTGGGAGGGACTTGCGGGTGGGTAGCTGCTCTTCTGTGGTGACCGTTTGGTGCAAAAAACAAATCCTTTGGAGGCAAGCAACTAGGTTTTCAGCCTTATCTTTAAGATTAGTGAGGTTCCAAGTAAAGGGTGATAGTTAAGAGGAGAACAAAAGCACTTAACTGGCCTCTAGGACTGGAGGGGCTGTGAGTCCAGGGGCTGTGTCTTAGTCCCTGTGTATTGTGTTTGGTGTTTGTGTTTGCTTTCAGTGTCTTCCATCACAAGGAACTCTCTGCCCCCTGGGGCCGAGAGACCCCACCCTTTCCCCAAGCTGAAGCCGCAGAGCATTGAGGTACCAGCCAGATGTCTTCTCACAAAGGACCTGTGGTGGCCCAGGGCAGTGGGGCTCCTGCCGGGAACAGGGAGGCGGACACAGTGGAGCTGGCTGAGCTGGGCCCCCTGCTAGAGGAGCAGGGCAAGCGGGGCGTCGCCAGCCCAACCAAAGTAAGTTGTCCCCCCAGGGCCCGCCTCTCCCCTGTTGGTCTCCCAAAGGGACTCTCCCTACCCCAGTCCTCATCACGCTGTAGTGTAGCTCTTTTTATCTGTTTTTCCCACTAAGCGGTTGCTTATACCCCAGTGCTTAGCACAAGACCTGAAATCCTGCAAGTGGCCAGTGCCTGTCTGTGGTTGAAGCAAGGAAGCAGTCAGGCAAGATTAGGCTTCGTATAATGAACAAACAAAAACCCCTGTAGCGAGTGAAGTAAGCCAGAAAGAGAAAAACAAATACTGTATGCTAACACATATATATAGAACCTAAAAAAAATGGTTCTGAAGAACCTAGGGGCAGGACAGGAATAAAGACGCAGACGTAGAGAATGGACTTGAGGACACGGAGAGGGGGAAGGGGAAGCTGGGACGAAGTGAGAGAGTGGCATGGACATATATACACTACCAAATGTAAAACATAGCTAGTGGGAAGCAGCCGCATAGCACAGGGAGATCAGCTCGGTGCTTTGTGACCACCTAAAGAGGTGGGATAGGGAGGGTGGGAGGGAGATGCAAGAGGGAGGAGATATGGGGATGTATATATATGTATAGCTGATTCACTTTGTTATACAGCAGAAGCTAACACAACAGTGTAAAGCAGTTATACTCCAATAAAGATGTTTAAAAAAAGCCAACGTGTAGCTTTGACAAGGTGGAAGTCTCTCTCATAGAGAGAGAGTCTTGGAAGTAGCCGCCACAGGCTGGTATGGACGCTGCACCCGGGAGGCACCTGTCCTGCTCTTCCATCTCATTCTTACTGTGTCACCGAGGGGCGGGGCTGGGGGAGCAGGGCCCACCCTTTCTGAAAGCACCTGGCAGCACTTCATGCACATCGGTGTGGTCTTTTCATTTTGCCTGAGCAAAGTTGCAGTAGCATTGCCACCCTGAGTGAAACCAAGGACTCCGTTACGGAGGGGGAGACGGGTCTGCATCAGTCTGTGTCGCGAAATCTAAGAGGAAGCATCACAGGGGAAAGAACAGCCGGGAGGAGGAGCTGCTGTCCGCACACGGCCCCGAGCCTCTCCTTGGGAGGCGAGGGCTGTCGGACTGCACGCTGTGTGTCAGGCTTCTGTGCAGCTCAGGAGGGCCTGCAGCTTCTTTCCGGAACCAGTTCTGAGGCCCTGCTCCTCCTGGGAGCTGCTGTGGATGCAGAGTTTCAGTCGCCGTGGCACCCCCAGGGCCAGTGAACAGAGAACTGCACAGATTTAAATTGTTAGGGGAATCTCTGAAACTCCGTCTTTTTCATTCTTTTGAGCATTCAGTGATCTGGAAGAGAGAAATATTCGGGAAAATGGGGCAAGTTCAGAACCGCTGTGTTAGCGATAAGGGTGGGCTTTTGGGACTTGAAGAGCATGTAGGCCTGGTGCGCTAGTCCCGTGTGCCTCGGGTGCCAGTCTCCATCCGTCTGTCCCCCATGTGCTGCGTTGGGCTTTCGCTCCAGCATTTACGGAGTTGTAAACTCGTGCACTGTCATGCCGTAGGAGAAAAGGCCACAAGGCCGGTGTGTGGGAGAGACGCTGGGCAGAGAGCAGTGAGTTGGGGTGTCTCTGGATCGCTCACTCTGGACTAGGGAACTCCTGGGGTGTGTGTGTGTTTCCTTCGTTCCTGCAGGCCGAAGAAGAGCGGGCACGCGCAGTGCCTCAGGAAGAGGAGGAGGAGGTGCGGGTGCTGACGCTGCCCCTGCAAGCCCACCATGCCATGGAGAAGATGGAGGAGTTTGTGTACAAGGTCCTGTCCTGGAACGGGGAGGGCAGGCTCACCTGGGCTCCCCGCACCTGGCGGGCACGCCCTGGGGGGAAGAGCTTTCGCTCCTGTGCGTGGGCTTGCTTTCCTTTACGGTGAAGTAAATCAAGGGGAATCTGGCTAAATTTTTACTGCCTACTGTGTTGGCGTTGCTCAGAATATATTCTAAAACAGGAGTTCTTACCTGTTTTTGCTATTAGTCCCTTTGGCAGTCATCAAAGTGTTAGAATGTGATATAGTAACACGGCACCTTTATTAATACGTTAGCTATGCATGACAAGCTATAATGTATTTTATTAGAATTTATCATTTCTAAGTGGTAATCAGTAGAAATAATATTTTGATATCTGCAAAACTAGTGTATGAAAATATCTGTGATTTCTATTGGTGACAGAGTCACAAATTCTAATACTAGACTTGCTCACACTTACAACTGGGGGAAATGTTAAATTTAGTTAGAAGTGATTGAAAATAAAAATTTTTTTCCATCCAAATATCCAACACAGTCCATTGTCCGTACGTCCCAGGTTAAGAAGCCCTGCTTTGAAAAGTCATAGGCTCAACCCAGTGAGAACGTAGTATCTAAAGGGGGGAAAGGATGGACAGGCGGCCACCAGAGTCTCCGGGGACAGAGGGCAGAGGGGTAAATGTATATTTTTAAAACCATATATATAATTTCTATTTCCTTGTTTTCATTCACTACATCTACTGAATTTTAAAACTCAAGTAGCTGAAGGGAGGTCCTGCCATATTCTCTTTAAAGACTGAGAAACACTTATCTACTTACCTAAGCGTATCCAGGTGAACTATCATGACACAGAACAAAGCCATTCACAAGTCGTCGGTCCTGGGGCGACCTCGCTCGTGCTGTGTCTTGGCTTCTCTGGCCTCAGGCTGGCCCCACCATTCCCTGGGCCCCTCTGGAGCCAGCCTGACGCTCTCCTTCACCCCTTGTCCTTGGGGCGGCTCGCGTCCTCGGGGCCCCGCTCAGAGAGTGTGTGGTTGCAGGTCTGGGAGGGGCGCTGGAGGGTCATCCCATACGATGTGCTCCCCGACTGGCTGCAGGACAACGACTACCTGTTGCACGGCCACAGGCCGCCCATGCCCTCCTTCCGCGCCTGCTTCCAGAGCATCTTCCGCATCCACACGGAGACCGGCAACATCTGGACCCACCTGCTTGGTGAGTGGTATGGGTGGAGGATTGGACTTTCTGTCTCCTTAAACGCCAGCACTTGTACAGGCTTTGTCCATGGGAAAGAAAAGCAACGTTGTTGTGACAGTTTGACAGCTGGCATCGTGCCTTTAAACTACCAGTGAGCTTGCTGGGCCCTTCGTCGCTGGTCTGTAAGGCGGGGGTAGGGGGGCCTAGAAGCGGAGGAGATGACGTCCTCTGTGGTCAGAACCATCCCCGGTGCAGGCAGCTCCTCCCACTTCACAGTCCCCGCGGTAGAAACAAAACGCCAGCATTTCAGAGGATGCTCTTTCTGTCTAGGTTTGTGTGACGGGTGCCGTTTTCTCCGGAAGTTGTCGACTGCGGTGCCCACAGCTCAGCCTGTAGCTTTAGTGCTGGCTTAAATCATCACACGTTCCCTTTTTCCTCAGGCCTCTTTTCTCTCCGTCCTGTAGGTTTTGTGCTGTTTCTCTTTCTGGGAATCCTGACCATGCTGAGACCAAACATGTACTTCATGGCCCCCCTTCAGGAGAAGGTGGTGTTCGGGATGTTCTTCCTGGGCGCGGTGCTCTGCCTCAGCTTCTCCTGGCTCTTTCACACCGTCTATTGTCACTCAGAGAAGGTCTCTCGGACCTTTTCCAAGTGAGTGAGAAGAACGTCGGTAGGGACACCTTGTGATCCAGGTCCTGGCAGCGTCCTGGAAACTCCAGCAACTCCTAAAGATTCCCTGATGTGCCAGAGGAAGGGCTTTCTGTTTTGCTGGTATAAGAGGATCAGGAAACTTTTCTCTTAAGTCCTTCATGAGAAGTTTCACTGCAGCCTCCTTAACAGATGGAGCCCAGTTGTGGGTATATTTTCTCCCTGTGCAGTGCTGCCCTTTGTGAAACTTGGAGTACCAGTGGGCTGCTCTCTCGGACCGAGTACCCAGTCCTGTCCTACCTTCCTGGTGGCCCAAGCCGTTCAGGGCGTGGCAAAGTTTCTGTGCTCCGTCCTGCTGGAGCTCCGACCCACCGGTCCAGTGAAGCTTATCTTTGCTGCCCGCCTATTGCTGGAAGCCCCAGATGTCCATCCTCTAAGGCTCTCCTTATTCCCCAGTTCTGAGCCTGGAGTTCTGTTTGTTTGCTTTTTTTGTTGTTGGTGGTGGTGGTTTTGGAGGTGATGGTGAGTTATTTTGTTTTTCTCAGTAACACCAGTAACAAGAATACATTTTTATCTTTAAGAAGTCGACTAAAACAGAACAGTACACCTTAATAATACTCCCAATTTAAGGGTTTTGTTTTTAGAACTCAACCTATCCGAACTGGGGAATACTCAGAGCCCTTCCTGCGTGGAAGCTGGAGACTGGCTGGAATATGGTGGAATTCCTGAATTTAAGTATCCATGAGGGGGATGTAGCTGTTCACAGCCAGGGGAAAGGGATACAGTTCAGACTTTTCCACTGCAAAATAGAAATGCTTGACCTCATGGGGTTTTGATTCAGGATATAGGACAGATCGTATGGGAAGTGAGGGGCTGGGGGCGGTCACGTCTGAGAGCCGCTGCAGAACAGAAAGCCCTAGGAGCTCTTCACTTCTCCCACCGCTCCGCTCATTCTGTGGCTTTTTTCAGGCTGGACTACTCAGGGATCGCCCTGCTCATCATGGGGAGCTTCGTGCCCTGGCTCTATTACTCCTTCTACTGCTCCCCGCAGCCACGGCTCATCTACCTCTCCAGCGTCTGTGTCCTGGGCATCTCTGCCATCATTGTGGCCCAGTGGGACCGGTTTGCCACTCCTAAGCACCGGCAGACAAGAGCAGGTGGGTCGGAAGACAGAGCGGAAACCTCATAGGTATTTGGACCTTGAGTCCAAGGGGGTCAACCCTGGGCCCTGACCTGTGTTTAGAACTGATCTGTGTTTAGAACTTTCAAAACAGCGTGCATTTTCAAAGCTCAGTTCTCCCCCAGGTTTCATACTATTTCAGTAAAATGTTAATAGGACAGGTAATTACCAAACTGGTCAATGAGCTACAAGTATAGAAATGACTGCTCTTATATTTGGTTTGAGGAAGTTAAAAAATGTACAAAGCAGTCATTTTAGTAACCTGAGGGTCGCTGAGCTCAAACCAAGGGGCTAAAATTAAACCACCCAAAGTTATTTTACTAAGGAATGGAAGGCTTGGCTTGGTAAGTAAAATACCTTGGGCATAAACACTGTTACCAAGTAACATGATGGCTGTGAGCACAAACATCTTCCTGTTGTCTCATCCAGACTCAAGCTTTATTACTCGCAGCAACACAGCGATTAGCACTAGTCTTCGGTCCCTTTAGACTTAACATCTGCTGTGTTTTAACCTTCATTTAAAATAATTAAGTATTCATCAAGTGCCGACCATGTGCCAGACTGATGCTTTACCAAGGCCGTCTGCAGAAACGGAGAGGCAGTCCCTGCCCTGCGGTTGCGTGTATGGCCGTGGTGTTGAGCCGGCACCCATTCTGTCCGTCCGTTTACTTACTTTGTGTCCAGTGGCCACTGACGACTTCCAGTCTGGGTCTCTCTGTCTCCTCAGGAGGTCAGGGTCCTGACCTTAATGGGAAACCTGTCTTGCTCCTCCCTGGCTGGCAAACTACCTGAGGCCTCACCATGTCGGTTCTGTACCCAAGGCAGCCATCAGGAAGTTCTGACCTACATGGTCGCCTCGGCTGCTTCACGGATAGTGAAGAATGTGAGACGTTTGTTCTTGGCGCTCCTTAGGAGGGAATAGCTATATCAGCATCTACACAGCCTTCTTCCCATTCTGAATGTTAAAGAAGTGTCTGCTGAGTGTTCTCCATCTTGCGCTAAATTTCCAATAAACATGTACTGTTCACCAGAAAGTAGCTCATCAGAGTGAGACAGCAGTGCCTTCCAAGCGGTACTGTTTCCATGCCTGACGCTCTTGTGTCTGCTTTGTTCAGGGGTGTTCCTGGGGCTTGGCTTGAGCGGCGTCGTGCCCACCATGCACTTTACAATCGCGGAGGGCTTTGTCAAGGCCACCACTGTGGGCCAGATGGGCTGGTTCTTCCTCATGGCTGTGATGTACATCACCGGAGCCGGCCTTTATGCCGCGCGGATTCCTGAGCGCTTCTTCCCTGGAAAATTCGACATATGGGTAAGAAACGACACTTCAGTGGGGCCTGTGGTGGTGAGACCGGCCCACAGGTAGAGCTCGGAGTCAGAGGCAGTGAGAGACATGGGTCAGGTAGTGTCTGGGGGTGCACACGAGTTCCTACATGCATGTCCATGCATGTAGGTGGGAGAATGGCGGGGAGGGGAGTGACCGATAGTAACATTTTGGCGTATCCCTGACAGGGCTTAAAAATTTTTTTTCTCCAACAAATCTATCACTTTTATGATGTAAAAAACTTTAGGGAGGAACGAGGAGAGGCGAGTGCCTTCTCCACTGCCTCCAGCCTTCCGTGCCGTCACCCTGAGGCCCCTCTCTTGTGTTCCTGCAGTTCCAGTCTCATCAGATCTTCCACGTCCTGGTGGTGGCAGCCGCCTTCGTCCACTTCTACGGGGTCTCCAACCTTCAGGAGTTCCGATACGGCCTGGAAGGGGGCTGTACTGACGACTCCCTCCTCTGAGCCGCCCCGCAAGGGCACAGCAGGAACTTCCCAAGTGCTTTTAAAATAACTTCTTTGCTGAAGTGAGAGGAAGAGTCTGAGTTGTCTTGTTTCTAGAAGAAACCTCTTAGAGAATTCAGAACCAACCGAGCTTCAGCCCACTTCACACTCACCGGGCAATAAACTCTCCATTCCCTCGCTGAGAGCAGTGGGGATGGGCAGACGTGGCCGCACGCCCCTCGGTAAGGCGACCACTGTCCCCTCACAGAGACGGGGCTTTGAAGCTCATGTTGAGAGTTTACCCCTCCTCCAACCGTTCTGGGGAAAAATGATGGACTGGGACTCTTCAGAAATTCTGTTTCTGGAAGAAACTGTCCCTCCCTCACCCCTGTCTTGACTTTGTAACCTGGCTTATAACAGGCCATCCGTTTTTGTAGCACACTTTTGAGAAACAGTTACAACCTCGTCCATCTTTCTAGGGCCTGGACTTGCTCACACAGCAGGAAGAGCAAAGCCACCAACTTTTACACAGCTGGCTAATCATGGAAGTGTGTCCAGGCTTCAAATAACTTGAGTTTTAATGTTTTCTTGGCAGAGTAATGTAAAATTAAAGTGGGGAAAGATATTTAATATTTAATACTAAGCTTTAAAAAGAAACCTGCTATCATTGCTATGTATCTTGATGCAAAGACTATGATGATAATAAAAGAGTACAGAAGACACTTGGCATTCAAAGATTTAACATGTGTGGTCTCAGCTATTTGCAAAGGATTAAGTCCAAAGGATTAAAACCAGTAAAATCATTGCAGATTCTGCTGAGGCACAAATCTGCATCATAGGTATTGACAGGCTGGCGTGTGCAGGCCAGCGAATGAGCCTAACTGAACTCCTAGCACGTGCTGCTCCAGGCCGCTTTACGTGTCTCCACTTAGCGCACAGACATTTCCTGGAGAAGTTGGTGTCGTGCTGCAGTAGAGTTCAGTAATTAGAAGATACCGGGCTTCCCTGGTGGCGCAGTGGTTGAGAATCTGCCTGCTAATGCAGGGGACACAGGTTCGAGCCCTGGTCTGGGAAGATCCCACATGCTGTGGAGCAACTAGGCCCGTGAGCCACAACTACTGAGCCTGCGCGTCTGGAGCCTATGCTCCACAACAAGAGAGGCCGCGATAGTGAGAGGCCGCGCACTGCCATGAAGAGTGGCCCCCGCTCGCCACAACTAGAGAAGGCCCTCGCACAGAAACAAAGACCCAACACAGCCATAAATAAATAAATAAAATTAAAAAAAAAAAGAAGATACCTGCCTTGTGAGCATCAAGGGTCTACTACATGATATTAATACTCTAGACTTTAGTTCTTTTAAAACTGCCCTGATTAAGGTCTCTTCAAGAGGTTATTCCATGCCTTTTTGTGCCTTTGCAAATTTTCCCCAGCCTGACAACGAGTTCTGTTCATTGGATGCAAAAGGCCTGCAGTAGTCACTTCTGAGCTAGTGTAGGCATTGGACGGGAATCTTTTTTTTTTTTAATTTAATTTCTGGCTACGCCGGTCTTAGTTGCAGCACGAGGGATCTTCGTTGCAGCATGCAGACTTCTTAGTTGCAGCATGTGGACTCAGTTGCAGCATGTATGCGGGATCTAGTTCCCTGACTAGGGATCGAACCCGGGCCCCTTGCACTGAGAGCGTGCAGTCTTACCCACTGGACCACCAGGGAAGTCCCCACATGGGAATCTTATTGAGTTGCAGAGTTGGGTTCACTTTAAGGGTCAAGTTTGTACAACTAGGAGAACAAGTGATCCTTTTAAAACTAATCCAACTAGGCCAACAAATCTCTACCTCCAGTGGTAATCAGGGAAGTGTAAATTAAAACCAAACTGATAAACCATTTTACTCCTACCAGATTGGCACAAATTAAAAGTCCTAAGACTGAGTGTTGGTATGGATGTGAAGCAGACCAGATGCTGCTGGTGGAACCATAGGACCACTTTGGACATGGTGGAGTATACATGTTACAACATTCAAACATTACATGAAACAATACAATGTGAGATGCATCTGATATCTATCCTAGGTTACTTCATTTAAAAAATGCTGGTTCTGGGGTTTCCCTGGTGGCACAGTGGTTGAGAATCCGCCTGCCAACGCAGGGTACACGGGTTCGAGCCCTGGTCTGGGAAGATCCCATGTGCCGCAGAGCAACTAAGCCTGTGTGCCACAACTACCGAGCCTGCGCTCTAGAGCCCGCAAGCCACAGCTACTGAAGCCCGCGCACCTAGAGCCCGTGCTCCGCAACGAGAGGCCACCGCAGTGAGAAGCCCGTGCACCACAATGAAGAGTGACCCACTGCTCGCCGCAACTGAAGAAAGCCCGCGCACAGTGACACAGCCAAAAATAAATTTTTTTTTAAATGCTGGTTCTGACCCACTAAGTTTCATAACTCACCAATGGGTCACAACTCACATTCTGAAAAACATTACCCTTGAGAAACTCAGCTTGTACTAACAGATTCATTGTAGCTTTGCCTAGTAGCAACATACTGCAGACAAGCCAACCATCCAGAACTTTGAGTGGAAAAATAAATCTTGGTTTATTCTTATGATGAAACACTATTTAGCAGTGAGAGCTAGTTACAGTGATGACAACATGGTTGAATCTCAAGATTCGGAGGAGGGAGTGGGGCTGCTTGGAGTAATATATCTGGTGTGATTGCACTGATGTACTGTTCAGAAATGTGCAAAGTTAATGATAGCTTAAGGGTATAAACATGGTAAATACTTTAAAAAAGGAAATGTTAATTCAGAAAAATGGTTACCTCCGAAGGGGAAAGGACAGGGTAACATACTGGATATTTCTAAAGTAAAGCTTATATTTATTAAATTGGAGGTGCATACCTGGGTATTCTTTATACTGTGATCACTTTTTCTTGCATATATAATAAGTATATCTGTTTAATACAAAACATTTTTAAATTTAAAAAAGTACTTAGGGAGCTGATAGCAGAAGTCTCAAACTGCTGACCTGCAGGCCGCAAACATTCACAAACGTGACCTGTTTGGAAACAGTCAACCTCGGCCCAGTAGCGGCTGTGTCTTTACAGAGGGCTGCACTCTCAGGTTCATCCTCGGCCCTACCCAGCAGTGTGGTCACCTGCTTGGCCCCTGGAGGCATCTGAGTTTGCAACCACTAGTATAGAAAGAACTGGAAGGAAACAGACCCCATCTGGTCCAACTCCATCCATGTTGTGCTTGAGGAAATATGAGACCCCCAGCAATTGGTGAGACCCCATGTGTATGTGCTTCATCATCTTCCAGTAGACAGGACCAGGGAAACAGTCTGAGCGAGACATCTTCTTTGATGTCTTGAGCATCTTCTTTGTACTTTTCATGTTATTTTGTCTTTATTTTTAACCCTATTAAGTAGGTGGTATTATCCCATTCCACAGATGAAGAAATTAAGGCCCCCAAAGGCCAAAACTTTTTCACAAGATGACAGGATTGCAGTATCTGAATCCAGATCATTCTGACTTAAACCCCAGGTTCTAAAGCCTCAGATCATTTAAAAATCCTGATTTCACTATCCCTTACCTTTACCAAAACTGCTAATTAGCAGCAGGTGAATATTACCTTCTTTCTCTAACTGCATGCTATGGTTCATTCACTTCCTAAATACTTGTTGAGGACCTGCGGTGTGCCAGGCAATATAGGAGAAAAGTAAGTGATGACAGAAACATTGGTAAGTTTTGATTAAAGAGAGGCCAAGAATAAAAGCTAAGAATCTGACTCTGTCCTCTTCCTATCAATAAGTAAACAATTAGGGAAGAGACTAATCTGTAGCTGTAGAACATCTATTGTCTTGCAATCTAAAAAAGGTTCAGCACCTTTGGAGAAGTTTGGGAGAAGTCCTTGATGTAAAAGCGGTTCACAGAGGAGTCCCATCTCCCCCAGAAAGTGCCTTCCTTAGTATCTGTGTTATCACTGGTCAGGGGCAGGAACCAGCCCTTGGGAGGCATGAGGTAGGCCTGGGTGCAAATTCATGATGAATTTCAAAGCAGCAGCTGGGCCCCTGCTGTGATTACATTCAGTAATTAAGAGGCACATTCTCATTTCTGCCATACTCTGGTGGCACAAAAATGCAATGCACTCTGCCTAGCTGGTTTAGAGATTTGACCTATATTCTACGTACCTGATCTAGAGTTCCACAGCACATCCCCGTTTTCCCTTACTGAAACCCTTCAGTAGCTGTAAACACCCAGAGTCATCCCTGGAGTCCAAACAAAAAGGCAGGGCAATGTGTGGAACCTGGGTGATTTGACTCACCTCATGCAGACACAGCCCTCCAACAACGGACTTAAGAAACTCAGAATCACTCTGGGCTGTAGCGTACTGAGTCAGATGTCCAAACGATTCGAAATATTCTCACTTGAGGACTGTGTTCCCACAACTTAAGCACTCAGAACATGCTAGGGCTGTACCCTTGAAGAAAACAGAAGCCTGAACTAGTTCCCACAGTGTGCTGGCTTTCTTGCTAGCAGTTTCTCCATCTTTTACTCTCAGGAAAAGGAGTGCGCATATTCTAAACAAAGCCTCTTTTATTAAGTTCCCTCTCATATTTGGAAAAACTCAGTTTAGCAGCCAGGAATTAGGCAATATCATTAAAGCATCTGGGTGCTATTCTGCAACCAGAAAACAAGGTATTATTTTTATTTAAATTATACATATTTTTAATTCACATGATGCAAAATTCAAAAGGCATAAAAATATACAGAGGAAAAAATCTCCCTCCCGCCCTGTCTCCCAACCAACCAGTTCCTCTCTCCAAAGAAACTAATGTTACTACTCTATTTTGTATTATTCCAAATGCAATTTTTATACATATACAGGCAAGTACGACTATTTATATTTCCCCAACCCTTTTACACAACTAATAGCAAAGTATGCACACTTTTCTCAACTTCATGGTACTGAACTGTATGGATGTACTATACATTACTGAACCAGTCCCCTACTGATGGGCGTTAAACTTGTTTTCAATACAATCTACAAACAACCTTGCACACACATCATTTTACATGTGTGTGAATGTATACACAGGATAGATTTATTAAAATCGCTGTTAAAGGATATCTGCATTCATCACATTTTGGTGAACTTTTCCAAAATGCCCCCCATAAAACTTGTACCAATCCTGCACTCACAATATGTAAATCAGAGAATTTTAGATCAGAGATACGATATGAGAGATGGAAACACTACGTAAAATTAGACTGCTACCCACTTGGCTATAGTTTTATTATCCCTAAAGAATCAAAGGCCCCACAGAGGAAAACAGTACAAACACAACTGGTTTGGACCTTCACATGAACTGAATCAAGGAACCTCATTCCCTTCTGAGCTACTGAGATAAGTGCGCCGAAATCAATCAGAAGCTCCGCATCCAAGAGCTGTGAAAGGCAGCAGAAGCGGAATAGGGAGATGAGGACTCCCGGGACTTCTAAGAAGATCCTTCGCAATCTCCCTCGCAGTGTGCAGCTTCTAGAGACCGCCAGTTCCTTCCACTTAACTGTCTCGGAGTGCAGAAGCAGAGGAGAACCACCCAGTGGTGATGACAGGCCCGACTGTGATGCAGAGAACGCTGAAGTCCATGGTCGAAGGACTCAGAGGATTGTCACCACAGCGATGGTCGGCCCGAAAAGGCCATTGTGGACAATGGAAGTGAAGAAATTGGAAGCCTCCGTGGGTTTTCTCGATGTAAGAGGGCTCCTGAATACCTGTCAGGTAAAACACGCCCTGCAGTCAGCCCCTTAGCTTAGAAAGCTCTGGAATCCTCTCAGTCCGCCGCGCCTCGCGGCCCTGGGGAACATCGTCTCAGCCGGTCACCTGGCTGGGGCTGCACCCAGGCCCTCGCGCCCGAACCCCCCTCCGCCCCCAGTTCCCCGCCCCCAGTCACCCAAACCCTCCTCGCTGCTTTCTCCAGACTCGCAGAAGCCGGCAATGCACACCCGCGGGTCACGTGACGTGGCCACTCACGTGACAGGACGGGCGTGACGTCATCACCGCGCGCGGCCGCCGGGACCGCGCCGGAGCCTCCGGGTCGGGGCGGCGGCGCTTGGGTTCTTCCCGGGCCGCCCGCTCGCCCCGCGCCCAGCCCACGGGCCGGAGCTCAGGTGAGTGGCCCGGGGGCGGTGGCCGAGGCCCTTCCCTCCCGCCCCTCCCACCGTCGTCCCCTCCGGGCGAGGAGGAGTCTACTGGCGTGCAGCGCCCCGACCTCCGCCTGCAGGCTGTCGGGTAGGACAGCATCGCTCCTCGCCCGCCGGGAAGGCGGCCCCTCCGCAATTCGACGCCGCCCAAGGCTTCCGCGGCGCAGCCGCTCCACCGGGAGGCTGGCGGGAGCCCTGGGCCAGGTCACCTCTGGGCGGAGGGCGGAGGTCGAGAACCCCGGGAGGGAGACCAAGCCGCGTTGGGGTAGCGTTGGTTTGACAGGCCGAGCCAGGTCGTAACCCCCCGAGAAGGTCTTCACCGTAAAGGGGGGAGGGGGGGGTCTGTGCAGACTTTTCTCACATCTCCAGAGTTGAAACTAAGTTGACTTAAGGAAAATCTTTTTGAAAATCATCTTATGCTTTGATGAATCACCTTTTCTGTAAAATGGGTCTTGCGGAGTGGTTGGAGCGCTCATAGAAGAATAATACGCTAAGTATAAACAGGAGTAGATGAGAATTTAGGATCTCGTTTTTCCTATTCATATGAAATTATGGTTGTGAGTTGTGGACTCTTGAAAACCATAGATGGGTTTTATTTTCTTGGATCCTTTCAGAAAGTTTTGGATTCCACATAAGACAGACTCTTAATAACCACCCCATTTCATTCCCCAGAAATTGTCCTGGAAGCAAATAAACAACAACAACAAAAAAATAGTGTGACTAAAGCCTGTCAACAACCACGAAAGTACTTCTTACATTGATTCTTTTTTATATGTAACCTGTTGATATTACTGAGTTCATTTAATTGATGCATACAGGTGAACTTTACAAGTGACTGGCTATGGCCGTAAAATTAGTAGTAGAATTTTGATAGGTTTCTATCCTAGTAAGTCTCTCTCTCTCAGTATAGAAGAATTACTGCAAATATTGATTTGTTAATGCTGATTGATGTTTACAAATAGAGTAGGGAGACCCTTCTATAGAAGAGCTTCAGTAGCTTAAGAGAAAGTTCATAAATAAGCTTGCATGGTTTCCATTATTCAGTATAGGTATTGGGTCCTCATTTGAAGTTTCACTTTAAGAAGAAATCCAGATATAGTTGGAAGTCATCATAAATAATTATTTGTGTGCTTCTTTAGAAAAAAGTTTATTTTTACTGATACTGGCCTTTATTGCCCTAGGTTGAATATGCAGTTTTTCTTTTCTTGTGTTCTATTACTAACCATTTATTATACACTTGCTAGGAGAGAAAAAAATATATAAAACAGGGTCCCCACCCTCTAAATATTTACCTACTTAATCTACTTAAGGGTTAGGGTTATATTAAAAATAGCGATGTCACACTGTTAAGAAATTTTATCTTCTCACTTTATCATGTGAGACAGCAGCCTTGTGAAGATAGGCAGGAAATGTATAGTCTCTTTCTACTTACAGTACAGTTGCATACTGATTACAATAAATGTCAAGTGGTTTGGACACTCGATGATAATGGAATTCAGAGGAAGAAGAGATCATTTTTGCTCGGGATAATTAGTGGCTAGATTGTGTTGGTAATACCAGGAATAGGAGTGCTTCCTACTTGTGGATGTTTGAGTCTGATGGAGCCTCCTTAATTTGTAAAGCTAATTGAATATATTTAGTTTCTCCAGTCCTTCAAATATGCTCATTTTTTTTTTTTTTCTCTCTCTTGTACCTGCAGAATCCAAGGATCCCTTTCATTCTCTCTCCATATTGCCTGATGGGAGGCATTATGGCCCCCAAAGACATAATGACAAATACTCATGCTAAATCCATCCTCAATTCCATGAACTCCCTCAGGAAGAGCAATACCCTCTGTGATGTGACACTGAGAGTGGAACAGAAAGACTTCCCTGCCCATCGGATTGTGTTGGCTGCCTGCAGCGATTACTTCTGTGCCATGTTCACCAGTGAGGTAAGTGGTGAGTCATCTCCTCACAAGTGGAACCTCACACATGTCACTTCACAGTTGTCTCATTTCACTGAATAAAATAGTAGAAGTCTGATGTAATAGTGAATTTCTATAGTATGGTGTTAAATGGGCCAACTCTGGATAAGATCTGCCACTTAGTTTTCTCATCTCTGAATGAGGGATAATAGTAACACACAATAGCATACGGTTACTGTTACAGTTACTTGAGAAAATTACATATGACGTGCTTAGAACAATGTCTAGCATGTAGTAAAACAAATACCAACTATTGGATTTTACTTACTGCCTTTTTAATTTAAATTTATTTATTTATTTATTTTTGGCTGTGTTGGGTCTTCGTTTCTGTGCGAGGGCTCTCTCCAGTTGTGGTAAGCGGGGGCCACTCTTCATCGCGGTGTGCGGGCCTCTCACTATCGCGGCCTCTCTTGTTGCGGAGCACAGGTTCCAGATGCGCAGGCTCAGTAGTTGTGGCTCACGGGCCTAGTTGCTCCGCGGCATGTGGGATCCTCCCAGACCAGGGCTCGAACCCGCGTCCCCTGCATCGGCAGGCAGATTCTCAACCACTGCGCCACCAGGGAAGCGCTACTTACTGTTTTTTAAATTTGTTTTCCTTCTTCTAAAGTTTAATATTTTAAAGTGAATACTGGGGAAGAGGGAGGGGGGAAGGAAAGAGGAGTGAGCCTCAGTCCTCATCCCATTCCTTCTAACAATATGTGGAGAAAATCAGTCTTCATTCTACCAGTGAAGGCTTTAGAGTAATTGCAAATGAGAGGGAGAGGGCTTAGTGCCTGACTCTGTGGGTGTTTGAAGTATCACCTAGAAAAATATGCTGGCTCTGGAGCACAAGCCTTTAACAAGGGAATTAGAAACAGGTTGGCTTGGCAAGAAAAGAGGTAGTGCTCTCAGAGTACTAGGAAAAAGACTGCCTTAGTAATTGCCTGGCCAGACAGCTAAGATGTGAAGGAGGCTGCTTGGTGAATCGTGAGGGACTCAGCTGAGCAGAGGGGACCACTGCAGACCTCAGCTCCCAATATCTCAAGTCTGATTTTTTAATTTTAAATAAATTGTCATTTCTTTTTAAGCTTGAATGGTGAGTACACCACTTGATTATATCATTTATCTCTACTTATATGTATGGCTGACATATTTCATTACAGTAACACTTTTTAAAAAATCCTCTCAACCACCAGGGTTTTATCAGTGCAGGTGTTGCTGCTGACCTGAGTGGGAGAGATCGTGTCATGAGAATGTCAGTAACTGCCTTTTACGGGCAGATGCTGTGTTAGGTGATTGTCGCCTCCCACTCACCCCAGGGGTGGTTGTTACCATCTCATTTTGCAAATGAAGAAATAAGGTCTCAGGTGCTAAATGCCTTATAGCTTGTAAATGGTAGAGGGGATTTAATCCTAAATAAACTTAGCTTGATTCTGGTTTTGCTGTTCTAGTTGTAAAGCCAGAGTCGTGTGTGCTGCTGAACCAGCGCTCAGTCACATGGCTGGTGGGGAGAATGCGGAAGCCTGACACGTCGCCCCAGCAGACCCAGGCTAATTTTTTTCTTTTAATATTTATTTATTTTTGGCTGAGTTGGGTCTTAGTTGCTGCACGCGGGCTTTCTCTAGTTGCAGCGAGCAGGGGCTACTCTTCATTGCGGTGTGCGGGCTTCTCATTGCAGTGACTTCTCTTGTCACGGAGCACGGGCTCTAGGTGCGTGAGCTTCAGTAGTTGCAGCACTTGGGCTCAATAGTTGTGGCTTGCGGGCTCTAGAGCGCAGACTCAGTAGTTGTGGCTCGTGGGCTCTAGAGCACAGGCTCAGTAGCTGTGGCGCACGGACTTAGTTGCTCCGCGGCATGTGGGATCTTCCCAGACCAGGGTTCGAACCCGTGTCCCCTGCATTGGCAGGCGGATTCTTAACCACTGCGCCACCAGGGAAGCCCCAGGCTAATTTTAAAGTGACCCTGTGCAGGGCGACATTACAGACCCTGTCCTGTACGGTACCCCAAGGAGCACCAGAAGTGGTGATATTTATTTAACTGGGCAAATGTCATGGCTGCCAGCAGGAAGCACTGAGGACTCGGACTGCTGGCTGCTCACTACATGTTGTGCATCCTGTCTTCACTCTTTCTCTGCACATTCAGGAATTAGTGTGGAGTTCTGTAAAAGAACTCTCTTTTATTTTTTTTTCTCACCAGTGATTATTTTATAGTCTTTCTTTAAAAACTGACATCAGGCAAGAAAGTGTCAAATGGTCTTGTCTTTTTCAACTGAAGTATAATTAACCTACAACACTATGTTTGAGGTGCACAACATAGTAATTCATTATTTCTATACAATATAAAATGATCACCGCAACAAATCTAGTTACCATCTGTCACTGTTCAAAGGTGACAGAAGGGGAAGCCGTATGTAGATATCCAGGGTTTAAAGTATTATTCACTTTATTCCTCATGCTGTACATGTCATCTCTGTGACTCATTTATTTTGTAATTGGAAGTTTGTACCTCTTAATCTCCCTCATCTGTTTCACTCATCCTCCTATCCCCTTGAGGTTTGTTTTTTTTTTAATTGAAGTATAGTTGATTTACAACATTGTGTTAGTTTCACGTGTACGGCAAAGTAATTCAATTATACATGTGTGTTGTATATTCTTTTTCAGGTTCTATTGCATTATAGTTATTGCAAGATATTGAATATAGTTCCCTGTGCTATAGAGTAGGTCCTTGTTGTTTACCTATTTTATATATAGTAGTGTGTATCTGTTAATCCCAAACTGCTAATTTTCCCTCCCCCCAACTTTGGTAACCATAAATTTGTTTCCTGTGTCTGTGAGTCTATTTCTGTTTTGTAAATAAGTTCATTTGTATCACTTTTTAAGACTCCATACAGAAGTAATGTCATATGGTATTTGTCTTTCTCTGTCTGATTTACCTCACTTACTATGATAATCTTTAGGCCCATCCATGTTGCTGCAAATGGCACAATTGTTTTTATTACTGTTTTATGGCTGAGTAATATTCCATTGTGTGTGTGTGTGTATACATATATACACACACACAATATATGTATACACACCACATCTTCTTTATCCTTTCATCTGTTGATGGACACTTAGGTTTCTTACATGTCTTGGTTATTGTAAATAGTGCTGCTATGAACATTGGGGTGCATGTGTCTTTTCAAATTAAAGTTTCCATCTTTTCCGGTCACATGCCCAGGAGTGCAATAACTCTATGTTTAGTTTTTTAAGAACCTCCATACTGTTCTGCATACCCTTGCATTTAAGTTGTTTAAAGGAGTGGTTCCAGAGACCTGGATTTTTTTCTTTAACATCTTTATTGGAGTATAATTGCTTTACAGTGGTGTGTTAGTTTCTGCTGTATAACAAAGTGAATCACAGCTATACGTATGTATAGCTGAATAACAGCTATACATATACATATATCCCCATATCCCCTCCCTCCCACCCCTCTAGGAGGTCACAGAGCACAGAGCTGATCTCCCTGTGCTATGCAGCTGCTTCCCACTAGCTATGTTTTACATTTGGTAGTGTATATATGTCCATGGCACTCTCTCACTTCGTCCCAGCTTACCCTTCCCCCTCCCCGTGTCCTCAAGTCCATTCTCTACATCTGAGTCTTTCTTCCTATCCTGCCCCTAGGTTCTTCAGAATCTTTTTTTTTTAGATTCCATATATATGTGTTAACATACAGTATTTGTTTTCATCTTTCTGACTTACTTCACTCTGTATGACAGACTCTAGGGCCATCCACCTCACTACAAGTAACTCAATTTCGTTTCTTTTTATGACTGAGTAATATTCCATTGTATATATGTGCCACATCTTCTTTATGCATTCATCTATTGATGGACACTTAGGTTGCTTCCATGTCCTGACTATTGTAAATAGAGCTGCAATGAACATTTTGGTACATGACTCTTTCTGAATTATGGTTTTCTCAGGGTATATGCCCAGTAGTGGGATTGCTGGGTTGTATGGTAGTTCTATTTTTAGTTTTTTAAGGAACCTGCATACTGTTCTCTATAGTGGCTGTATCAATTTACATTCCCACCAACAGTGCAAGAGGGCTCCCTTTTCTCCACACCCTCTCCAGCATTTATTGTTTGTAGATTTTTTGATGATGGCCATTCTGACAGGTGTGAGGTAATACCTCATTGTAGTTTTGATTTGCATTTCTCTAGTGACTAATGATGTTGAGCATCCTTTCATGTGTTTGTTGGCAATCTGTATATCTTCTTTGGAGAAATGTCTACTTAGGTCTTCTGCCCATGTGTGGATTGGGTTGTTTGCTTTTTTGATATTGAGCTGCATGAGCTGCTTGTAAATTTTGGAGGTTAATCCTCTGTCAGTTGCTTCATTTGCAAATATTTTCTCCCATTCTGAGGGTTGTCTTTTTGTCTTGTTTGTAGTTTCCTTTGCTGTGCAAAAGCTTTTAAGTTTCATTAGGTTCCATTTGTTTATTTTTGTTTTTATTTTCATTTCTCTAGGAGGTGGGAGAGACCTGGATTTTAGGTTCAGTTCTCTTAGTAATTCTGTGTGAACCCTGGTGACCATCTAACCTCACTGGGTTGTCTGTAGAACAGGGTGATTGAACTTGATGGCTTCTTCGTTCTCTTCCATCCCTAAATTGTTCCTTAAATGTGGTGCAACTGAAAGAGCACAGGGTGAGGCAGGAGGCCTGGCTCTGATCTGTCGCTTATTAGTTGAGGCCTTGGTTAAGTCACATAACTTCTCTGAACCTTAGATCCTTTATGTCTTAAAGGGCAGTAATATCGGACCTAACTGCCTTACCAGGTTGCTGTGAGAATCAGATGAAATAATAGTAAATGAGAGGCACCCTGAAAAGTTGTAAAGCAAATATTAATGCGAAATACTACAGTTCCTCTAAGTTATTACATAGTGATCTCATTTATATAGTTAAGCTATTTGGCTAATGGGAATATAGTTTATTGACTAAGAAATTCCTGACATAAATGTACTCATGTTTCTGTTTGTAAATACTGTGTTAAATGTTAGTAAAATGTTTTTCCAAAATAATGTACTGGTGACTTTTTGTATTGTTAGGGATTTATTTTGTTCTTGGCTTTGGTAGGGAATACTTTCTGATTATTATTCTAGGCTGATGATAAAGACATTTAGTTCATAATGGACATGCCCTGGAATTTTGTAAGTAATTGGAATCTCTAAACTAAGATTACAATCTAATAAAATTTTTGTAAGGTAATCAGTTTTCAGATAGTTTACTATCCTGTAAAACTGAAGATTTCTACCCTTAGCTAAACCATTTTCTATGATTATCTGGCCTCAACTATACTCATAACTCCAAGGATATAGTCTAGACTAAATGTACCACCAGTAATTCGGTAATCCCAAAAGAGAGTCAACCCAGTATTTGAAAAAGTATCAAACAATCCTGTTGTCTTCAGTGGCACAGCAGAAGCCCTCTCAAGATGACCTGCGTGTTGTCTAGGGACAGATAGGACAGTGCTGGCTCATCCTGGAGGGTCTGGAGCTGCAACTCCTGGGGCATCTACAAGCATGAAATCTCAGCGAAGTTTGTATTTCATCTCAGAAGCTCATGGACACTAGTGGCATGCTCATGGCAACTTTTGGTTCTATCTGGTGTTACGTCTGTATTTGTTTTAATATGAAAGCAGCATTTAAAATTATTCACAAGTAAAATTAATATTCCAGGAAGGTGTCATCTCTGTATCTTCTTGGGTTACACATAGCTCCCCCCTATTTGAAAAGCTACAAATATATGCCGTGTTTGCTTTGTACAAATCAAACAAAATAGTCGATCTTTTTTTTTAGATCTTTCAGCACATAGACAAAAATAGGATTTGAATTCCCAAAGCATAAAATTTCTAATCTGATTCTTAGGCGTTGAGCCAGGGTTCCTCCTTATATTCAGTTAATATTGTTAATGTCCCTTCCAGCTTTTGTATATGAGACTCTGCCTTAATCTTGTGGAATTATAACCACCATGATTTCATACCCTTTGAACTTTCAGCTTTCAGAGAAGGGGAAGCCGTATGTAGATATCCAGGGTTTAACTGCCTCGACCATGGAAATCCTGTTGGACTTTGTGTACACAGAGACCGTGCACGTGACGGTGGAGAATGTCCAGGAACTGCTCCCTGCAGCCTGCCTGCTTCAGCTGAAAGGTACAGATGCTAAGTTGTTCGTGCCACAGTGACCCTGGAGATGTTTAAAATTCGTGATGTAAACTTAATCGTGAAAATTAAGGAGACAGACTGTGGGCCTCATGTTTACTGCCCATGGCACAGAAGTTGAGATTTCAATTGCGGTATAGAGTAGCCTCCAAATGTGAGTCTTTGGCTCTTTGGGAGAGAGCATTTACTTTTTGTTTTTAAAAAAGGGGAGGAGGGGATAATAGATGCCTTTCCTTCCATGTATGTGCACAACAGTCCTGCAGGGAAACACAGAAAACTGATACGCGTCGTTGCCTCCGTGGAAGGGAACTAGATGGCCAGGTGGGTAGGGAGGCTAGGGGGACTATTCATATAAACCCTTCTGTACCTTTAGTTTGTTGAATCATTTAAATTATCTATTAAAAATTTAAATTGGGGCTTCCCTGGTGGTGCAGTGGTTGAGAGTCCGCCTGCCGATGCAGGGGACACGGGTTCGTGCCCCGGTCCGGGAAGATCCCACATGCCGCAGAGCGGCTGGGCCCATGAGCCATGGCCGCTGAGCCTGTGTGTCCGGAGCCTGTGCTCCACAACGGGAGAGGCCACAACAGTAAGAGGCCCGCGTACAGCAAAAAAAAAAAAAAAAAAAATTAAATTGACACACAAAAATGAAAGTGTAAAGTTTTCACAGGATTAGAGATGATCCCCCTTCCAGTTCCCAACCTGTCTGTCCTAACCTCCAGTTCTGTTTCTGTTATTTTCAGTTTTTGATACATGATTGAAACAGTGTGAAGTTTTTGTATTAGTGCACAGCTCCAACATTAATTTTATACTCTGAGCTTTTCAGTTAGACAAATGTGAGATTGTTATCCATATCTCCTATTTTTCCTTCACCGGAGTCTTTTAGTAAGTTTTCATGTGGAGTAGAAATTAGGTACACTGTGCTAAATTAAGCTGATTTTATAGCTTGATTCCGAGGAGTTTTGTAGGCATGTTTGTTTAATTGTGGCGGTGTCCACAGAAGCAATTCGTCTTGCCGTACTTGTTCTAATGCAGCAGCAGACATTTGTAAAGTCCTTGCAGAAGGCCACACAGCACATAAGACAAAAATAGGATTTGAATTTCCAAAGCATAAAATTTCTAACCTGATTCTTAGGTGTTGAGCCAGGGTTCCTCTGATACAACGTGATGTTGTGATCCAAGAATATAGGCCCATCCACCTGGCCGAGTGTCCTCAAGGACTCACTGTTTTTGTCTGTTCTAGGCGTGAAGCAAGCCTGCTGTGAGTTCTTGGAAAGCCAGCTGGACCCTTCTAACTGCCTGGGTATCAGGGACTTTGCGGAAACTCACAACTGTGTTGATCTGATGCAAGCAGCTGAGGTTTTTAGCCAGAAGCATTTTCCTGAAGTGGTGCAGCATGAAGAATTCATTCTTCTCAGTCAAGGAGAGGTGGAAAAGCTCATCAAGTGTGATGAGATCCAGGTACAGACTTGGCTTGGCATTAGCTCTTGTCAGGACTGGGCCAGAAGACCAGAAAGCAAGGCGGAGTTGTTGTACTTCTGTAGCAGGGCCCATATTAAGCTCTGAGGTTTCATTAAATGTCCCTGAAATTGCATGCCAAACGTATTTGCCTATTTACGGAAGGGAGTTCGCTACCTCCCTCAATGAAATTTGTGATCCCAGCGGTTAAGAATCACTATTAAACAGTATGGAATAAGCATTTTAAAACATTTACCAAGAATATCTTCCTGTATAGCCGTCGCCATGCCAGGTGCTGGGGAGCCAAGAGTGCGTAAGAGACAGTCTTGTTTCCAGAGAATTCACAGTGTAGTAGTGGCGACAAACAGGAAGACAAAAATGATGACTGAGTGTCAGGAGAATAATGAGCCTGTTCAAGGCGAGGAAATTCCATAGAGGAAAGAAGAAAACCTTCTGGATTTAAACGGGATCGTAAAGGGAGCGGGTCAGAAAGGACGGGGCAGCAGGTTGGAGATGGTGAGCCAGAGGCAGCTCATCAACGCCCGTGGGAGGAGAGGGCCCTGCAGACCGGGTGTTGAAGCGATAGGGTCCCGCCTCCGTGTGCGAAGCGCCCAGGGACGCGGCCCAGCAGGGAGCGAGCCTTCGTCCTCCGCTGAGCAGAGCGGGGGTGGGGGCTGGGGTGCTGCGTGTGGATCTGTCGTTAGGCTGGGAGCTGCAGTGAGTGCAGCGGGGGCTGTGCATGTCGCGGCAGCCAGGCATTCCTCTCCAGGGCTCCAGCCCTCTGGTTAGGAGCTTCTGGAAGACACCTAGCAGAGCCAAGTGCTGGGGAGGAGTCCACCTGTTGGGTTTGTTTTCCCCAGTGAGGAGACATTCGATTCTCTAAGGAGGCGAAGAGTTATTTTATTTTTTTTTCCTCTCTCATTCTGAGATAATAATGAGAAACGACTTTAAACGTTTACTTATTTATTTATTTATTTGGCTGCGCCGGGGCTTAGTTGCGGCATGCAGGCCCTATCTAGTTCCCTGACCAGGGATCGAACCCGGGCCCCTACGTTGGGAGCACAGAATCTTAACCGCTGGACTGCCGGGGAAGTCCGGCATTTGTAAATCTTGTTCAATTCTCAGAACTGGGTCCATTTTTCAGAGGAGGAAACTGGCGCTGTGATTAGTCACCACCCTCACACAGCTGGGAGGGGCAGGACTTGTGCCGCCCATCTGCATCCACAGTCTGTTCTCTTCACCACGGAGCTGTGAGCTGTGTTTCTATTTGACCAGATCTGGAAGTAGTCACAGCAACCATTTATTTTAGAACAGTGGAGACTGGGGGATAAAACCGGATGGAACAGGGAGGGCAAACAACTGACCTCTGCAGAAGCCGGGATGAGCTCTTTTGTACGGTCTTCCTTAAGTGTCCAGCGAGACTGGCCTTTGCTTTTTTTCAGCAAATGACATTTTTTCTCTTTCATATACCAGCCAGAAGCAGGAACCAGATGTCTGGCCCTGGGGCTAACGCTTCCTCTGGACCATGTAAAACAATAGTACTTGAAACAATGGAGGCAGCATGTCACGTTGTTTAAAACAGCACGGGCTTCAGGGTCACGCTGGGGTTTGGGCTTGGCTGTGTGACGCGTGTCCCCTAACCGCTGACCTTCAGATCCCTCTCCCATAAAATGTAGATAACAGTCGTACTTACTACGTAGGGCTGTTCTGAGCGTTAAATAAGAATGTCAGTGCCTGATACATAAACGAAGTCTCTGGGAAAATTTATTATGGAGACTATTTTCTCCATAGTGAAGCATTAGTATTGGGGGTTTTTTCTTCCCAGTTTAGCTGTTTCTCTGCAATTCTAGTTTATTCTGTCCTCAGTAAGATCAAGGATCTCTACTCATGATTGAAAAACCCATTTTAAATGGATATATCTAATTTAAACCTAGAATGTGTCAGAGTCTAGCATGCAGCTGTTCAGAACTATTAGCCTGTCATCCTTGCCTTTAACCAAAGTTTATCTAAAAAATCATGACCACCCTTCTGCACCCTCACCTGCATGTAAACCGTGAGTAGGCTGGGTTAGTTTGACCTCCCATAAATTTGCTTACACAGATTCTGTCATCACTGTCGTAGTCTAAGCATCATCACCTTTTGCCTGATGGACCAGAGTAGCCTCTAACTGGCCTCCCAGCTCTTAGCCCTTCTAAACCGCCCTCCCGTGGCTCTCGGAGTAATCTTTACCAGACATCAGTGTGGCCCAACACTGGCCTACTTGAAGCCTGTTAACGGTTTAGAGTGAAATCCAGTCTCCTGATGCTCTGTTTACTTCTCCAGCTTGACCTTTTTCGTCCCCTCCCTCATTCATTCTGCCACACCAGCCTCTGTCGTTTCCCAAGCTGTCCAATAGAAAGTTCTGTGAAGGTGGAAAGGACCTGTGTCTGTGCTGTCCAGTTCACTGGCCACTAGCTTGAAATGTGGCCAGTGTGACTAAGAAGCTGAATTTTTTTTTTTTTTGCCACGTTCATTGCTATTAAGGACAGACTTTGGGGGTGTTGGGGGGGTTTTTTAGCCATACCACACGGCTTTCGGGATCGTAGTTGCCCGGCCAGGGATCGAACCTGTGCTCCCTGCAATGGAAGCATAGAGTCCTAACCACTGGACCGCCAGGGAATTCCCGAAGCTGAATTTTTAATTTAACTTCATTTTAATTAATGTAGATGTAAATAGCACATGTGGCTCATGGCTACTGTGTTGGATGGTGCAGTTGTAGGGCTTTTCCAAGTGCTTTCTGTCTGCCCCGAGGCTAACTGCTACTCTTCCATCAGGTTTAAACCTATTGCTCCTGCAGGGAGGCATTCCCTGTCCCATCAGCCTAAATGAAGAAATCTCGTGTTATTCTGTCTCATAGCCCCTGTACTTTTCCTGTGTGGTACATAATGACAGAATGGGATTGTTCGTTTTTCTGATTTAACAATTATCTCCCCACTTAAGAGGAAGGTTCATGTCTGATTTGTTCACCATTGTATAATTACCCTCCACAATTCCTGGCACTAGTAGGTGTTTGGTAAATCCATCAAATGAATGAACATTCTGAAACATTTTCTGTATTTTCAGCTCTTGAGAGAAGTCCACAGAGTGATGTCTTTGTCTGGGCACTGTCACACTCTGAAAGTTATCTCAGAACAGACACACTCCAGGGGCTGATGGAGGGACACAGGCCTAGTCCTCAGGTGTCAGTCTCGGGGAGGTACTAGGTGTTACTGTACCTTGTGCTTGTCCAGGGACGTAATGTAGGTTTTCTAGGGTGTGTCTTATCCAGTCTGTCCTATGTAGCTTAGACCTAAGTTCCCCAAATGATTAATTATATGTGTCATCTCAAATAGCATGGTGACTAATACAGAGTAGTTGCTCAAATACTAATTGACAGTGTTTTGCAGACCCTGCACTCTTTACGATGCCGTAAGGGAAGTTCCTGCTCACAGCCTTGGCTGAAGCGTCCAAGAGTGAGCACGGAGGTCCTTAGACAACACCTATGAATATAAGTTATTTTAGGAGCCAGTCTCGGGGGCTTCCCTGGTGGCGCAGTGGTTAGGAATCTGCCTGCCAATGCAGGGGGCACAGGTTCGAGCCCTGGTCCGGGAAGATCCCACATGCCGCGGAGCAACTAAGCCCGTGTGCCACTACTGAGCCTGCGCTCTAGATGCCGCGAGCCACAACTGCTGAGCCCGCGTGCCACAACAACTGAAGCCCGTGTGCCTAGAGCCCATGCTCCACAACAAGAGAAGCCACCGCGATGAGAAGCCCACGCACCGCAACGAAGCCTAGCCCCCCGCTCGCCACAACTAGAGAAAGCCCGCGTGCAGCAACAAAGACCCAACACAGCCAAAAATAAAAATAAAATTTTCTTTTTAAAACAAAGAGCCAGTTTCAAGTAGGGCAGCAGATTCCCCCTTCCCCTGCTGAAGTTTCAGAAATGACCAGAAAAAAATTCAGGAATGGGGAAAATTCTGAATTAAAAGCCGATTTGTGACTGATGGTCTATTAGGTACTCTCTCTCTTAGGTTTTTTCCACCGAATCTGACTATAACTCTCTTCATGATATCAGCAAGTTGTGTCTGAAATGATTGTTTTCCCAAGAGCCTACTTATTTCTGGGAGATGGGAAATAACGGTGGCGGGAATGGGGCGGGAAGGAAAGGGAAGCGAGGTTACAGAGCAGCCCCACCATGTGGTCACGCACTCGCAGGTGGATTCTGAAGAGCCGGTCTTCGAGGCCGTCATCAACTGGGTGAAGCACGCCAGGGAGGGGCGGGAAGAGTCTCTGCCGGACCTGCTGCAGTACGTCCGTATGCCCCTGCTGACGCCCAGGTACATCACGGATGTCATAGATGCCGAGGTGAGCCACACAGGACCCAGGGCGGTGGGCGTCTCTTGTAGCTTCATGTCGTGAACTCAGAACTGGTCACCTCAGAGGAGGCACGAGCATCCTGGGAAGCATGTCCTGGGGGGCCTGGGGCGGGGAGTCTGCAGGCGGTCACTTGGCCGGTCAGTCTCCTGGCAGAAATGAAAGTCTATGGCTTAATTTAATTTTGTGCTTTGTCTTTTCATTTTACGTGCTCCTCAGTGTTTTGCATAAGCAACATCGGATGATAAATTTTGTCCCCTTCTCTGTTAAACAGAAATTTTTCCAAATTGCCTTGGAAAAGATGCTTTGCTCACCTAGTCTCTATTTTTGACTTCTGGTGAGGCCAGCATGAAAGGAGTTTGATGCATTTATTGGGTTGGCCAAAAGGTTCCTTCAGTTTTTAAGTAAAAATAAAAGACACATTTTTCATTTTCACCAAGAACTTTATTGAAAGACATATTCACCGTTTTGTTCCACTACCTTCTGCCGTTTTTCAGGCAACTTCATAATTCCATCTTCCCAAAACTTTTTATATTTTTGAGCAAAGAACTGTTCCAGATGCATTTTACAGTATTCCAGGGAATTGGAATTTTTTCCATTAAGAGAATTTTGTAAAGACCAAAATAAGTGGAGATCCGAAGGTACAATGTCTGGCAGGTGAATCAGAACTTCCCAGCCAAACTGTAACAGTTTTTGCCTGGTCATCAAAGAAACATGCAGTCTTGCGTTATCCTGATGGAAGATTATGTGTTTTCTGTTGACTAATTCTGGATGCTTTTCGTCGAGTGCTGCTTTCAGTTGGTCTAATTGGGAGCAGTACTTGTTGAAATTAATTTCGTTTTCCGGAAGGAGCTCATCATAGAGGACTCCCTTCCAATCCCACCATATACACAACATCACCTTCTTTGGATGAAGACCGGCCTTTGGTGTGGTTGGCTGGTGCTTCATTTCGCTTGCCCCACGATCTCTTCCCTTCCACATTGTTGTACACTATCCACTTTTCATCATCCGTCACAATTTAAAAACGGAACATTTTTGTTACCTTTCAGTAGAGAATCGCTTGCGGTAATACGGTCAAGAAGGTTTTTTTCCACTTAATACTGAGCCCAGACATCAAAGCAATTCACGTAACCAGGCTGGTGCAAATGGTTTTCAATGCTTGACTTGGATATTTTCAGTCCGTCGGCTGCCTCCCGCGTGGTATAACGTTGATTTTCTCAATGAATGTCTCGATTTGATCACTATCAACTGGTCTCCCAGACTGTGGAGCAGCGTCCAGTGAGAAATCTCCAGCACGAAACTTCGCAAGCCACTTTTGACACATTTGATTAGTGACAGCACCTTCTCCATACACTACACAAATCTTTTTCTGCGTTTCAGTTGCGTTTTTAACCTTTCTTGAAATAATAAGGCATGATATGCCAAGAATGTTGCTTTTTTTCTTCCATCTTCGGTATTAAAATGGCTACAGAAAAATTCACCAATTTTGATAAGTGTTTTTTAATGCACGCTATGACAGCTGTCACAATACAATCTAAAAATATTGTTTCAAATGAAGTTAAAGTCAGCTAGGTGCTACTAGAGCCAGCTTAGGAGAAAACCGAACGAACTTTTTGGTCAACCCAATAATATCAACTTGGATCATATCATGTTTGTTTATAAGTGTTTCTCCAGCCTGAGATCTCGGTGGTGCGTTTTCTGACCTTCACCATGCACATTACCTGGACGCTACCCTGGGGGCCGCTGATTTGTAATGTGTAGGTGAGGCCCAGACAGGCGCCTGCTTCTGGCCCAACCCTGGTCTCTTTGGAAGTTAATTATAGACACAGCTTTGCAGTCGTTTGCATTAGAAAAGATGCCTGTGCTTAGTGTCACATCTCAAATTCTTTGCCTCCTGTTTGTAATTTCTTCCTTAATAGTCCACTCACATACCCCACACATACCTTTGAATCACGTAACGTCTATTCAAAAAATCTTTTTTTAATCATTCCGGAAGCCCATAGCATAATTATTACCAGCAGCCCTCCTGGAACCACAGGGCTTTGGAAACTGGTTTTCTGTGTTAAGAATTTAATTCTTTATATGTGCCATTTATGCTTTTATTAGAGGTGGTCCTGCAGCTCACTCTCCTACCTGCTGTATTTCAGCCTTTCATCCGCTGTAGTTTACAGTGCAGGGACCTCGTTGATGAAGCAAAGAAGTTTCATCTGAGGCCTGAGCTGCGCAGTCAGATGCAGGGACCCAGGACAAGGGCGCGTCTAGGTAAGCTGGCATCTTGTATTAATTGTGTCAATTTGTACAAGTCCCTTTACCACCCGGAGCTTTCTTTCCTATAAACCAAGGATATCTTCCCTTCTATTTCACATAACTCTTTGGAGGATTACATGAGATAAAGTGTGTGAAAGCACTTCATAAATTGTCAAGTATTATGCGACATAAGTTACCACTGTTATTTCAGTATATTTGGAGCCTGTGAATTAGAAATATCTCAAATGCCATGTAGTGAGTAAGTGGTCTGCTTCCCCCACCTCTGCCCTTCTCCACGTGAAGAGGAAGGGGAAGCAGCAGCGTGGTGAACTGCAGAGGGGTCCAGGGTGGTCAGAGGCAATGGCATGCAGTGGTCAAGGGCCTGGACTCAAGCCAGACTGTGGGTTGGGTGCAGGTCCCCATTTACCACTTGCCAGGTGTTCGGCAGGAAACTCAGCCTCTCTGTGTCAGTTGCCTCATCTGTAAAATGGGGGCCATCATAGCTCCTCCCTTGAAGGTTGTCGTGAAGAGCAAGTGAAAGGCTGAGAACGGCTCTCGGCACACGTGAGTGCTGTGCACGGAGGCTGTCATGTCAGCAGACAGACCTGGGTTCAGATCCCAGCCCAGCCAGTGACTGGCTGGTTGTGAGCCTGGGCAGGGTGTCCACTTGTCTGAGCCGATGCTTCCGCCTCTGAAATGAGGACGCTAATGTCTTATCACACTGGTTATTGTGGAGGCCCAATGACATCACGCATGTAAGATGCCTGACATTGCAGCTGGCATGTAATCTGTGCTCAAATGTTACGTCATTTCCATTTCACTGTCCCAGGATCCTAGATACTGTATGTAATAGCATTTCATAGGTTATAAATTACTCTGTGTATATGGGGTGGTATCTTGTTTTTATCACTTCCTATTTTTGCTCTTATCTGACTGTGGACTCATGTGTGCTAAGGTGTTAATTGATAATTAAGCCTTTCATTGATAGATTTAAGTAGAATGATGATTTATCTCATTTTTTAATCGCATAAGTAGTACATATCTGTAGAAGTTTTAGAAATACAGAGAAGCAAAAAATAAATAAATGAGTCATCCATAATTGCACCACCCAGAGATACTACTTTTTGTTATTGTTGTTTTTAAAGGAATACTGTTCTGTTAATTCCTGGGAGATGACAAAATGTGATCTGTATCGCTTGTTATATACAGAGATATGTAATCAACACAAGATAAATGGAAAAAATACAAAAGGAAATTTTTTTTAAAAGATTGAAGGGCTAAGTGAAAAATCATGAAAATATTAGAAGAAATTATACGAAAATTATTTGATTAACTTCTGGGTGGGAGCCTTTTTTTTCTGTTTTTAACTGTGGTAAAATATACATAACATAAAATTTACCATCTTCTCCGTTTTAAGTGTACAGATCAGCGGTGTTAAATACATTCACACGGTTGTACAACCCGTATCCAGAACTCTTCTCATCTTACAAAACTGAGATTCTGTATCCATGAGAGAGCAACCTCCCTTCTCTCTACTCCTGTTTTTTAACTAAAACAGAGAAACCTAGAACTCTTCAAGGTTACTTGACTGCATCAGTTTTTTGGGGGTTTTTGTTTTTTTTAAATTGATGGCAAAAGACGTAAAGTCAAGAGACGGGGACTGGGAGAAAATATACTCAATATGTATGACAAAAGGTTAACATTTCTACTGTAAAAAGAACCCATATGTATCAACAAGAAAAAGAGCAGTGACCCCACAGAAGGCGGCACGGGAGGTGCACAGGTAGCACACAGAGGAGGACGCGTGAGGGAACACCGTGCACTTAAAAGATGCTCCACTAGGAGGTCTGGAACCACAGATCAGAACAAGGTAGTCACTGGAGTTTAAAATGAGCACACCCTGTGTGTCCCACCTCCGGGAATCTGTACTGTAGAAACAGCGTGTCAGTACAGAAATAAGCACATATGAGGAAAGACATATGCATAAGAATGTTTACTATAAATTGCTAATATCCAGAAAAAAATGAATACAGCCTGAATGGAATGCCAAGTAAAGGGGGATTAATGGTTGACTGAATTATAGCACAGCTGTACCATGGAATGTCACGAAACTGTTAAAAGCATTGAGTCAGATACACGTAAGATTAATTGTGCACGCTGAGGGGGGGAAAAGAAGGAAGCAAAACCTCCTACATATGTGTGTTTGCCTGAGCATAAACAAACGATATGTGTACAGGATAAACACTAAACCTTTAATAAAGTGAGATTGCAGGGGAATATTAACTACTAGTGTTTTGTTTCTATACCTCCGTGTTATTACCATAAGCTGACAGAGAAGATAACAGATATATATTCTGTAAGTAGCAGGTGAGCCGGTGATGTAGAGGAAAGAATCTGGCACTAGGAGGTAAGACATTTCGCTTACTTTGATGTTTTCCTCCCGGTTCTGTTAGTCTGCTAACGTGCTGTTTGAACTTGGACAAGTCCTTCAGCTTCTCTGGATTACCATTTCTTCTTCGGCATATGAAAGGAGTTAAATTCAGCCACTGGAGCTCTTTCCAATACAGAAGATGTGTTTCTTTCTTGTAGAGCCAGCCAGAAGTGTCCCAACCAGTACATAATTGCTTGTTAAATCGAACTAAGTCCAATAAAAATTTGTGTGAACCACCAAACCCAGAAGGTTCTCTAGAGTGCATTTCCTGCTTTTCTTTGAACAGGCTGCAGAAAGCTCCTACTTGCTCGGAGAACTTGCTTATTGTCCTGACCTTGAGGGATTAGAATATGACTCTACACGCCCTCATAGTTTCGAGGTCATTTTTTCAAAAGTTCTAGGAAGGAAATAATGAAACTGTTCCCTACGAGATTCTTAATTTAGCATCTCCACGTTAGTACCTTAGAAGTAAATTGTTCCAGCCATCCTGTCCTCTGCCCGTCTCTATTCATAGAGGTTGCTAAGTCAGTTACCAGGATGATGGCTCTTTGCATACAGCATAAGGAAATTAAATATACAGCTGAGGAAAAATAGCATGCCAAATTATGTGTGGGGATTTTGTTTTAATTGTTAATCTTACCCATTACTCTCTCATAAAAGATATAATAGAAATTGTAGTTCCTACTTTGTCACTGGCTTCTCGTCTGAGCACGTGGAAATGTCGGTCCCTGAACCTGTTCTTAGCAGTCCTGCAGCCTGTCTGCACTTTCCTCCAACAAAACACCCCAGCGCACACACGTTCCCCCCCCCTCAAAAAAACAGTGACTGGCACTGTCCTCTGTGTGAGTAATGTGCCTTTTCACACTGCTCTTACCAGGTGTTTTAGACACATTTTCCTCATCATAAAGATAAAAATCTAACTTGGCAAGTGCCCCATTCCTTGGCAGAGAACAAACAGGCTTCCTTCTGGTCAGCCCTTCCCCTGGCTCTTTCTCACATTAGTAAGTCTGCTGGAGTAGTGGTCCGAGCTGAGGGTCCAAAGACAGTGAAACCCTAGGAGTTCCTCTGAGGGAGGAAGACTTTCTAGGCACAAAGCAATAGAAGAAGTTGCAAAAGAAAAGGCCAGTGCACTTGACTAAACAAAAATCATGTACAACATTGTAAGACAAATCAGGAAAATAAATCTGCTGCAGCCACAGCAAAAGGTTAAAGTCGTTTGCATGCAAACAGCTCATAAAAATGCACGCAAGAAAGAAACACTAGAGACATGAGTGTGCGGCTCATAGAAGCGGAGTCCTGCTAAATAAAAGGGGCGAGATTCAGCCGAAGTAGTTATAAAGTCTTAGCAGTGCTAAGGCAAGAGTTAAAACAATAAATACAATTTTTTGCCTTCCAAAGTATCAAAGAATAAAAAGACAATACCAGTGCTACAGAGAGTAGAATGGATTGGCGCCTTTAGAGTGTTGGTGGGTATGGAATTTGTTTCAACCTCAGTATCTTATAATATACATCCAAAGACTTCTTTAAGGTTCATGTTCTTCACTAGGCAGCCCTCCCATTACTGTGTTAAGAAAATGACTGGGAAAAGTTTCATATTCAAGGATGTTTATCATAGGATTATATGTGATTATTTATAACCCCAAATCATGAACTCCTGAAATACCTAAGAATATTAAAATCATATATTAAAGGATTTTGTTAATATTTTGAGAAAATGAAATAAAAACAGGACGCACTACAGTATGGTCCCGTTTATGTTTTATAAATATTTAGAAACAAAGCTGGAAGGAAATAATCTTATGTTTTGCTGTGTCTTCGTATTGTGGAATTATAGCTAAATTTTTTCATAACACTTTCTTTTTAAGCTTTTTAACAGTGAAAATGTATTTTATATATTATATGTTTTATAATCACAAGACATAATATTCTTAAATCTTTTGAACCAAAGGGTGGGTAACATGTGAGTGAGGATGACAGTCATACTAGCCCTTGAGTTATTTTTTAAACTTTTTAAAAGAAAATCATTTTTGTGCTAGAAAAAGCTACACAGGCTAAACAGACATCAGAACTGACTAAAATAACACGTTTTCAGTGTTAAAACACTGGCCCTCTTGTCCTTATCAAAAGCTCTGTCGGCACTGACATGAACTCCGGCCGCAGTGGGGAAGTTAAACTCACGTGGCAGGCAGTCTTTCAAAACACAGGATCTTTCAGGGAAAGTAATGAAAATAGGCCTTCCTTGCAGAGAGGTTTGGACACCCCAGCTTCTAGTGGTCTAGGAGCCCCAGGGTTCAGAGCCATAAGTCGCTGAGCGACTTACGCTGACACCCTGCCCACGTTCCTCTGTGGATGCAGGTTACCAGGACGTTTACTGAGAAGCCTGGAGCCACGGGAGCACTATTGGTCCTCCAGAGTTTGAAATTAAAGCTGAAAATCAATGGTATTTTTTTTAATGTGCAAAGCATAGAAAATCCCCTCGGTTGTTGTGGGTGCTTTCGGGACTCATCACTGTCTCACCTCCTCTGCTCAAGTCAGAGGGGGAGAAAGGGGCCGATGGCGGGGAAGTGCTGCCAACGCAGGCCCTGGCCTGCCCCAGCTTGGAGGGATTTCAGAAATAAAATCTGCATCATACAAAAGGGCCCTTTGTTCAAATGCTTTGTTTTCTAAAAGAAGATGGCTGCTCACGTTGGAGAAGGGGCCACATACTTTATTTGGCAAGTTCACAGACAGGTGCCCTCTCAGAGGGGGAGGTTAAAGTCCGTGCTTTATGTGTGGGTTTAAGAAAAATTTCAAACATGTATAAAAACAGAATAATATAAGGATTTCCCCCATACCTATTGTCCAGTTTCAACAATTATCAACTCATAGCCTATGTATTTTGAAGCAAATCCCAGACAGGATAAACTTCCATCCATATATATTATGCTTTTGTGTGTATCTCTAAAAGATAAGAAATACACAGCCAAGTATTTATCTTCATCAGATATCAAGTACACATACACACTTCCTCAGTTTTCCCGTAATTGATTTTTCTTTGTTTTTTATACTTCAGTTGCTCCAGTCAGGATCCAGACAAGGCCCACACGTTGCACTGAGTTCATAGCACTCTTTTGTCTCTTTTATTTTATTTTGAAACTATTTTTTTCCACATATTTTTTGTTGGGCTTTATTTATTTATTTTTGGCTGCGTTGGGTCTTCGTTGCTGCGCGTGAGCTTTCTCTGGTTGCAGCGAGCTGGGGCTAGTCTTCGTTGTGGTGCGTGGGCTTCTCGTTGCGGTGCGTGGGCTTCTCGTTGCGGTGGCTTCTCTTGTTGCGGAGCCCGTGCTCTAGGCGCACAGGCTTCAGTAGTTGTGGCACGTGGGCTCAGTAGTTGTGGCTCGCAGGCTCTAGAGCGCAGGCTCAGTAGTTGTGGCGCACGGGCTTAGTTGCTCCGTGGCATGTGGGATCTTCCTGGACCAGGGTTTGAACCCATGTCCCCTGCATTGGTAGGCAGATTCTTAACCGCTGCGCCACCAGGGAAGTCCTCTTTAGTCTCTTTTAATCCATAGTTTTTTCCCTCCTGCTTTGGTTTCCCTTTGCAATTTATCTGTTAAAGAAACCTGTAGAATTTCCCACAGTCTAGATTTTGTTGACTGCATCCAAGTAGTCTCATTTAACACATTCTTCTGTCCCCTATATTTCCTGTAAACTGGTGGTTAGACTAGACGCTTGATAAGATTCAAGATTCAGCCTCAATTTTTCTGCGAGAATACTTCATAAGTGATGGTGGCGTGCTTCCTGCTGAGTGTTCTGAAGCGGTATGTGAGCTTTCCCCTGACGGTCATAGCCGCTGTGGATGACTGTCACAGCCGTGACTTCATTAGGGGCTTGTCTGTATTCCTTGTCAGTTTAAAGGTACTGCATTTGCTCTTTCAAGTCCAGGTCAACAAAATGCCCTCCTGGGGACTGAATTTCCCTAAATGCTCCGGATAAGTGTTCTCTCCAGTAGCACAATACACGGGGGATTTCCTCAAAAGAAATATTATCAGAATAAGATTATCCAAATAAGTCCTTAGGGGAAAGGGGACGATACAAAAGCTATCAAAATGCCTTGTTTGGGAAAATAGTAGAGAACAAGACTCCCTTTAAAAGCCTAGTCTTATGATTACCTGGCAGTTTTGACGAATTAGCAGGGAATGTGGTCGTATAGTTGGCTAATTTGGAAAAATAAAAGTCATGGAAAAGACTTTTTTTAATCTATCATTTGGTTCCTAAGCCACAACTCTCAACTTTTTGGGGACAAGGTTAGGAGAGCATTCTTTGCCATGGCAAAAAAACTCCCCTTTTGAGTTTTACGGGGTGAGAAGGGCAGAGAGAGCTCCTCCAGCCTCCAGCCTGCACTTGGAGCCTGTTGTGAAATCAGCCAGAGTTGTCTAGATGGGTTGAAATGGTGCAGGGTGTGTTCACGCTTGCCTTCCGGAGTTTTAATGTTGTCCAGAAATTTAAATTTCAGAGATTCAGGTTCTCAGGAAGAAATAATTTCCTATTAGGCAGCCTTATGATGAATCTCCTATTTCAGATGGCTTCTCTGGGCTGCAGAGAACAAGGTATCCTAGCCCTGTTTCTCCTTCTCCTTCCCTGTGAGGAGTTACCCAGCAGCGATGGGGAAGTGACCTCTCTCCTTCTCCCTTGTCCTCAGGAGCCAACGAAGTGCTTCTGGTGGTCGGGGGCTTCGGAAGCCAGCAGTCTCCCATCGACGTGGTAGAGAAGTATGACCCCAAGACTCAGGAGTGGAGCTTTTTGCCAGTAAGTAGTGGTGGAACCAAGCCTGGGGAAAGAGCTTAAATGCAGTCCCTGGCTCCAGATCATAACGAATCCAGCCCTTAGAGTAGAAAAGCCTGGTAACAGCATCGTGTTCCTTACAGCAGTTAGTTTCAGTAGTTAGTTATTGACTAATTAGACATAAGAAATATTAATGACCCTGTGCCAAGTTACACTCAGCTGGCCGCCACCATTCCCACGCCTTCCCAAGCTGCCTGTGCAACTCGCAGGGTGCTACCCTCGTGCCCTGTTAACCTGAACACTGTGTTAAACTGTGCTAAGCTGAACTGGTATCCAGTGGAACTTGGAAGTTTATATCTCTCTCCTTTGGTGTGTCTCTGTTTCAGTGCTGAATGAACAATAGTAATTCTGAGAAAACTTGGAAATCTTTTGATCATTTCTCGTAACTTTTCGGGTCTTCAGGTCCTGGCCCTTAGATAGCACTGTGGTAATAGCTTTCTACTTTATGGAATGATACCGGTCTTTAGCCCAGTGCCTTATGGAATAGAGAGGAATCGGATACTGGATAACAGAAGGACATTAGGTCCTTTGGAAGCCTTGGAAGGAGGCAAATGTACAGAAGGCTTTAATCTGTAAGAGCATCACAACAAGCAAGAGGTTTTCATCCAGACAGCAGACGAACCTCTGCGCAGAAGGCTTCACAGTGACAGGTGAAGAAGCAGAGGTGCGCAGATAAAAACAGGAAGGACAGCAAAAGGTGAGGCCTAAGACTGGCATGACTGAAATGACAGAGGCACCTCTTCCCTCCTGAATCCTAGAGCATCACTCGGAAGAGACGCTACGTAGCCTCAGTGTCCCTCCACGACCGGATCTACGTGATTGGCGGCTATGATGGCCGTTCCCGCCTCAGCTCAGTGGAGTGTCTAGACTACACAGCAGACGAAGATGGGGTCTGGTATTCTGTGGCCCCTATGAATGTGCGACGAGGCCTGGCCGGAGCCACCACCTTAGGAGGTAGGCTGGTGCACAGGGCAGTGTTTGCATTTTGGGGTGGCTGGATCGGGGTTCATACCTCTCTATGAAAATGTGGAGGCTACTGGTAAGATCAGATACGCCTTTCTGCTTTCAGAAATACCCATGGGTGTTTCAACGCTGACAACAGAGTTGGTAAATCAAGTTCCACTGTGCTGAGTGGGGAATTGGCACTAGTTGTATTTTTGCAAATTCCCATCTAGTCTTGGAATGTTTCTGAAGATTCCATCTTACCCCATTCTTTTTACATGTCTCGATTGTGCTGTCCTCTTTAAAAAGGACTTAATTGACTTATCCCTTAAAAAAACACTTGTTTTTGCCCCCAAACATTGGAAAGAGTTGTGGGAGATTTGTAGAGAAAAGAGTTACTAGAAGGCTCTCGTTCTCTAATAGCTGTGACTTGTTCATTCTGAGCAGATATGATCTATGTCTCTGGGGGCTTTGACGGAAGCAGGCGTCACACCAGTATGGAGCGGTATGACCCAAACATCGACCAGTGGAGCATGCTGGGAGACATGCAGACGGCCCGGGAAGGCGCAGGCCTCGTGGTGGCCAGCGGGGTCATCTACTGCCTAGGTGTGCGGGCTGGGACGCGGGGAGAACTGATGGGCGGCAGCCTCGGGGTGGGATCCTTTTTACCAGAATGAAGTTCGTAGACTTCCTTCCACTAAAACCCTGGTCTGCCACAGTATATTTTTCATTAACTGGGATTCTCCTTTTCATGGAAGCAGAAAACAGGGTACTGCCAGATTTCTTTTTGGATTATTGGAACCCTTGAGGGAGAACTGGAACTAAAAGACTTAGTTGAAACACTCGAGAAAGGCAGAATGGGAATGGGCATCAGGACTTACCATTCTTTCTGGAGTGGGGTCTGCTTTGTCTTTCAGGAGGATATGATGGCTTGAATATCTTAAATTCAGTTGAGAAATATGATCCCCATACAGGACACTGGACTAATGTCACACCGATGGCCACCAAGCGCTCTGGTAAGACCAGTCAGATCTTGGGGGGCAACAGACGGAGCTGTCCAAACCTTGTATGTGCAGTGAGGGTGCAGCCACAGGCCAGGCATCGGACCAGGGCTGCAGCCCCGTCTTCACTGGAGACAGAGGGGAACATGAGTCAGGTCCATTCTCCTCCAGCCTGTTGTCTCTAAATACAGTGAGACTAAAGGCAGCCTAAACTTTGACTAGGGTACAGTTTGAGGGCGAAGGCTTCCTGTCTTACTCGTTTTTTGCATCTGGGCCCCTCCCTGCATCCTAGCAGCCAGTCCAGCTCTGTGGATGTGGTGCACACTGCCTGAGGGAATGTGCGTGTGCAGCGAAGGGGCTTCCTGAGCCCCCAGGCTGGGGTAAGGTAAGGAGAGCACCCTTCCTCTGGGCAAGATGTGCTCCAGAGCCAGTCACAACTCCTTTCCTCCCTTTATTGCCTTCTTTTTTCCACTTCCTTCTTTTCTGCTGATAAGGGTTGGGCTGTGAATTAACGAAGGTGAAGATGACAGCCAGTTCGAGAGGGTTTACAGGCGGGTAACCTGTGCAGGACTAGATTCTTCCAGGCCTGTCTGGCCCCGTCCCCATCCCTCGGCCATTCTGGAATTCAGCTAGCCATCAGTGACAGTGTTTTGTTTCTAGAATTCAGATCCTGAGCTTAGCAGTATTCATTTGCTGTACCTTTTCTTCCCCAGGTGCGGGAGTAGCCCTGCTGAATGACCATATTTATGTGGTTGGGGGATTCGATGGTACAGCCCACCTTTCTTCTGTCGAAGCGTACAACATTCGCACCGATTCCTGGACAACGGTCACTAGCATGACCACCCCGCGATGCTACGTCGGGGCCACGGTGCTTCGGGGGAGACTTTATGCAATTGCAGGGTGAGGGTTAAACCAGGCATCTAGAGTGGTGTGATCCGAGCCGCATCGGGGGTGGAGATGGGGTTTGGTCCGGGAGGGAGACGCCTTGTGCGGGAGGGGGCCATGCGGCTGCAGAGCTCAGTCCCGCCTCTTCCCCCTCAGCTACGACGGGAACTCCCTGCTGAGCAGCATCGAGTGCTACGACCCCATCATCGACAGCTGGGAGGTCGTGACCTCCATGGGAACCCAGCGCTGCGACGCTGGCGTGTGTGTTCTCCGCGAGAAGTGACCGGTCCGACACAGTTGGCAGGGAACCAAGGATCCTTTCCAGAACGTCTGCTTCTCACTGTGTGCACAGGGTGATTACAGGCACCAGTGCCGCGATGATTGTGCTTATTTGACGCCCCTCGCACTGGTGGTTTTCCCTGAGGAGGGTGGGCTGCAGACCCTCAGGGGAGGAGGCTGCACGCTGAGTGGGTGTGGGAGGCCAGACCACCTCTCCTCCCGGCCGCGGGGGCACTCTCCCCTCGTTTCTGACTCAGCGTGCGCTTGGGAGAACATACATTTAAGTTGTGCCTCGCGTGTTGCAGAGAACTAAGGTATGAGCGCAGCGCCGGGGTGTGGGCGGTATCCAGCCTCGATCATTGGAAGGGTACCAACTCTTGTTTCACAACAATAAATATCTTACCTAGTCTACAGGTAGCAGGGGCAACACAGTTCCGATCTGGAGGGAAACAGAGGAAAGAGCCCTGTCAAAACTTTGGGGGCCTGGGGACAGGGGGACAGGGTTGGCGTCAGAGCTGGGTGTAGAGTGTGGGAAGGGAGCTGGACGTGGTGGGATGGGAGTGAACCTGCGACAGCCGGAAGGCTGAGGAGGGAGTGTTATTTGAGGGTCTTTCCGTGGTCCCCTGGGCCCTGGGGACTGAGAGAGTGACAGAGCCAGCACATGTTGGGTGAGCAGAGGTGGAGGAGAATGGGCCTTCAGTGGGCCAGGGATAAACCAGAAGTTCCTGTGATTTCACAGTAGTCCTCCCTGCCGTGACTCATCTATACGGGGAAGGTCTTCCTCTGTTGAAGCAAATGCTACTCACTCCACTGTTATGCGTCCATACTGTTTAGAGGGGGTGGGGGAGGGGCGGGGGGGCAGCTGCCTAGAAGTTCAGCTGCCTCATTACTCCCTCATTCTTTTAAGGACATACTTCTGCTAAGGTGTGGTTTTTACTGCTGTGTTTTGTACATGTAGTTCTTTGTTATTAGAATCCCCCTTCCCTGTCTTTAAAGTGGATTTTATTCATCCCAGGACAGAATAATCAGCGACAACTAAACTCCTTTTGTTAGTTTCGGTACCCGCTGTCCCTCCAAGGCTCCCCTGTGCTGTGCAGTGACATTCCTGCTCTGTGGGTATTGGGAGTGTGGGGACGTGATCACCTAAGGAAGGATGCATTTTCCCTTTGCTCTGAAATTCCTTTTTTTCCTCTTTCCCTGAGTTGTACTGACCTCAAGTTCATTTGTTTGTATTTTTTTTAAGAAAATATTGAAAATCAGTGGTCTCAAGTGCCTGTCTTGCAGACATTTTGGGGGACCAGGCATAGGGATCAGCTGCAGGTCCTGTCTCTTCAGCCCGTTCACCTGTGTGTTTGCCAGCTAGCTCTGCTGTGTCTCTGTTAGACAGGTAAGAGATCTCTGGAGACTCCCATCAATACAAGGTTAACTGAATTGCATATTCACGGACTCTCACAGTTGGACTTTACTTAGAAACCACAGGGGATAAAGAGGAGGCAATCTTGGGCTCGTTTTGTAACCGCTTGAATTTTAGGGTTTTAGTCGCCCCAGTCCTTTTTCCGTTTGCCTCGATTTGTGCCACAAACAGCTGTTTGTCATGCAAACAGCTATGCGGAAGGCTTGCAGAAATGCAAAGATCCTGATACTCGCAGAGCAAAGGGAAGGGGGAGCCAGAGAGCTTCAGCAAAGAGGCCGGCCGGCCTTTCTCCAGCAGAGGGATTGTGCCTGCCGATTAAATCGAACTGTGAGACATGTGACTTGTTCTCTCAGGAAGAGACCAGGGGAGGCAGAGGAGGGGAGGGGGTGAAGAACCCATGGCTCTGGGCTCTGGGCTGTCTTCACGGCTGACTTCTGAGTTTCAGACCAAATTCCCAAATAGTTCTTCGATGGCAGCCACAGCTGAATAGCCCCCTCCATCCCTTTCCACTCTTTCCCCAATCTTCTGTGCTTTCCCCTGCTCATGGACCTACACACAGCTACCCCTTATTTGGTGGTTCCTCCTGTTTTTCTAGCTCCCGTTAACTGGCAGGCAGCCACTAAGTTATGCAACCTCTGAAAGCTAAAGCTACCTTCATCTTGTGTCACCTGTCACCTCCACCACAATAGACATCCGATTAGTTTTTAGGTTGTACATGAGTTTAATTTTTCCAAATCCATTCCTGTGTTTTTTTTCCCTATCTTTTGCCCAGACTCATGGAGCACCGTCTCCTGATACCCTTACCTCTACTCTTCTCTTGCTTTCCAGTCTAGCCCCTCCATTTTGTCATCAGTTATCTTTCTAAAGCACGGACAGGGCCATTACAATACGAAACATACAGCACATTTTCAGTAAATACCAAACAGATATTTCTGGCCTAAAAGTCCATAGATTCCCGTTGTCCATGTTATAAGGTTTGAATTCCTTAGCATGACATTAGACCCATGGTGATCTGGACTCACGGCACCTTTCTGAACTCGCCTCCTCTACCACCCTCACTCCCCCCAGGTATCACGTGCTTCATCCACAGTGGTCTTAACCATTCCTAAATCTGTTCTTACCCTCGTGGATATATTACACCGTTCCTTCTATCTGAAATAATCTTGCTGTCCCGGCAAAATCCTAGTCACCTTTTAATGCCCAATTCAAGTGTCACCTAGGTAAAGCCTTTTCTGACTCCCCATGTGGCATTACCCCTGATCTGTGCTTCCATTTACTTTGTTCCCTGGATTGTCTTTATCACATGTCCTTGGGTTTGGGTCTGTCTTCCTGTTTAAACTGTGTTCTCCAGTACAAAGTGCCTATCGTCGTAGTATCCTCGGGGTGTAGCATATTCTGTAATTGCTCAGCCAATGTTGAATTAATGAAGGACAAAGAGGAAGAAGAAAAACGTGCCGCCGACAGGGGGTGCTGGGTAGATGAGACGTTTCTCAGGTGGCTTGGCTCCCCTTCTATCTGCCTCCCCTGCCATCTCAGGAAGGCCACGCCTGCCGCTCTACAACTAGTAAGCTAGACATCCGAAGACGAACCGGAGAGCGTGAGACACAGCGTAACGACCCAGCAGTGGCTCTAGGGCCATGCCTGGACCCGTGGGCCCTGGAAGGCAGCCTTTCCGACTTCTACCGCTTCACTGCGCTACGACCGACCCATAGGGAAACTGGGACTCGAGACGTTTCTGGAAGCGCGTCAACACCACGTCTTGCCACGTAGTTAGTGGTCCGTATGATGAGAACAGAGAGCAGCAACTGAAGCTTCCAGGCGCCTGCCTCCGCCCACAAGGCAGGTGTCCCTGTAGGTCGCGTCCCGTGTGAGCCACTGCGGCTGAGATTTGCTGATGGGGGTCTGACCCCAGGACGTCCCCGTCGTTCACGGGACTAAACGCACACTTGGACTGGCTCAGGTTTCACTCAGTGTAAGGGAAGCCCAACGCCCAGGTGAGCCTGGGCAGAAGCTCTGTCACATCCCAGGAGACATCTGTTACAAAACCACGCCGACCGCCTGGGCGGCAGCGAACGGCCGCGCCTGCGCACTGGCGTCCAGGGCCGGGAAGCGGCGCCTGCGCTGAAGCAGCGTCGCCGCGACCGCGCCTGCGCGGTACGAAGAAGTCGCCCTGAGACCGCGCGTGCGCGTCGCCGCCAAGGGCCCGGGTAGAGGCCATGGAGCCCGCGGCGCCGCCGAGCGACCTGGTGTCGGCGGAGGGCCGGAACCGGAAGGCGGTGCTGTGCCAGCGCTGTGGCTCCCGCGTGCTGCAGCCGGGCACGGCGCTCTTCTCCCGCCGGCAGGTGAGGGGACGCGGGGGGGGGGAGGGGCGGCGACACCGGGTCCAGTTCGGCTTGGACCCGGACACACGACCGGCCACTGGCGCCCCGGGGCCGCGCCTGCCGACCGCGGGGTCCCGACGCCGGGCCTCTGCAGACCGACCTTCTAGGGAGCCTGAGTGTTACTTCCTCAGGCTCAGGTGTCGGTGCCCTTCGTCCAGCTGTCACGTTCCGCAGCCTCCTTCCCACTGCGCCGCCACGCCCCGCCCCGGGAGTGGGCGCGGAGTCCCGGGGGGGGGGAGTGGGCGGGGAAACTGGGGGGCGGTTCGCAGGGACTGGGCGGGTGGGCACGGGGTGGGGAGGGACGGGACGCGGGGGCCGTCCTGGGGGCGAGGCCCGAACCCTCAGAGCGCTCGCTCGCTCCCGGGTCTGTGATCCCCGTCGACGTCGTGAATCACTAGGAGTGTCGTTCACACCGCTGCACAGACCCCGTGTCCCGCGCCCGCTGCCCCGAGACTGCGCGCGCGTGAGGGAGGACACAGACTTTGGAATATTAAGTAAATGAGGGAGTGAAGTTCTCAGTCCGTGAGACTAAGGGTTAGAGCAGGCGGAGCGAATCCGTGTGTCGCAGGCGCCATCGATCACCCGACGTGTCCTTTTTTTTAAGTCCTGTGAACGGTTTCTTTATAAAATGTTCAGACCCCCGACTCGGTCCTTTGTGAAATCTCACCTGCAGTCTGGGGCAGAGGAGAAAATTACAGTCACAGAGGAAAGAAACACCAAAGAGCTTGATAATGTAGGGAAAGGGTGATGAGTTAGAGAAGGGAATAGTTGCTTTCTTACCTTTTGAGGGAGAGGGCAGTTGGGGCAGGAGAGGGGGGTGGAAGATGAGATTGTGGGAGAGAAAGGATAGAGCACTGTTGGGGTGAGAATGAGAGCAAACCGAGACATTATTCTCAAACTAAGCATGCACCTAACATAGGACCCAGCAAGTGTTCTCCGGGCCTTTATCCCTGGCGGGATGAAAACATGTTCACACCAAACCTGTGCACAAATGTTCACTGCACCTTTATTCCTAAGAGCCGAAAACCAGAAACAGCCCAGCAGGCATTCTGCTGGTGAATGATGCCACACCACGGGCACCACAACTTGGATGAGGATGAATCTCCCGGGAATTATGCTGAGTGAAGAAAGCTGGTCCCAAAAGATTACTATTGTGTCATTCCATTTATATGACATTTTTGAATTTTAGAAATGGTCAACAGATTAGTGATTGCCAGGGTTTAGGAAGCGGGGGCGGGTCAGGGGTGTTGGCAAGTGTGGTTATAAAAGGGTAGACGGATGGTGGTGATGGTTGCACAATAATGTGAATGTACTTAATGGCACCAAACTGCCCACTTAAAAATTATTTAAATGGTACAGTTTATGTTATGTATAGTTTATCACAGTGAAAAATCAGGAATTAAAATGGAACATGCCTCAGGTGTGTTGGGCAGTGTTGTTCTAGTTATTGCTGCATAACAAAATCACCCCAGACAGTGACTTAAAACATGAACGTTTATTTTGCTCACAAATTTGGGGGTTGGCAGGGCCCAGCTCGGCAGTTCTCTCATTCATGGTGTTTCATGGGGCAGCAGTTAGAGGGGTCATCTCAGAAGCTTGCCCACTCCCATGTCTGC